CTGCATGTTGCCACTACACCCCTGTCTGGATTCCACCCCAAGAGGGGCAGAGCAGGGCACGGGTCTGACCCCTTCACGCTGCTTGGCTCGCCTCACCTGTCCAGACCCCGTCATAGAAGCGGCCTTTCCTTCCTCTTCTCATCCTGGAAGCGTTTTTCTTCCCTTGTATGCGCCCTTTCCTCAGAGGCTGCTGGGCCTCCCTTGAGGACAGGAGTCTCCCCTCGGCTCTGTTCTGCCCCACCAGTCACAGCTCTGGCTGCATGTCCCAGGGCCCCCCGGAGGTGGGACTGCAGAGGACAGTAGTGTGGGTCCCCTGCCCTGAGGACAAGGACAGTACTTCCCTTCCACCCCACGCATCCCCGTCTCCGGGGCTCTGTCTCAGCCAGAGGCTCACTTTCTCTGCCTTTGCCATCACCTCCCCACTCTCTCCCATTGCTTAGTCCCTTTTCTCCGCATTCTGGGAGGGGGAGCAAACTTGACTTCGAAATCAGCGGTTCTCAAACCTTTGGGCCTCAGGACCCCTTCACATTTCCTAAATTAGTGAGAACCCCAAAGAGTTTTATTCACATGAATCATATCTATTAATATTTACCACATCAGAAATTAAAACTGGGAGTTAAAAATATTTATTTATTCACTCATTTAAAATAACTGTAAACCCCCTATATGTTAACATAAATATAGTTTTTACAAAAAATGAGATTTTCCCAAAATAAGAGTGTGAATCAGGTCAGTGGTGTTGTTCTGTTTTTGCAAATCTCTTTAATGTCTGTGTAGCAGGACAAGCTGCAGACAAGAACCCCTTAGACACCAAATTGTAGAAGGAAAGGGCTTTATTCAGCTGGGAGCATTGGCAGACTCACGTCTCCAAAAACCGAGCTCCCCAAATAAGCAATTCCCGTCCCTTTTAAGGACTCACAACTCTAAGGGGGTCCATGTGAGAGGGTTGTGATCGATTGAGCAAGCAGGGGGTACATGACTGGGGACTGCATGCACCTGCACCTGTAATTAGAATGGAACAGAACAGGACAGGGATTTTCACAGTGCTTTTCCATACAATGTCTGGAATCTATAGATAACATAACCGGTTAGGTCAGGAGTCGATCTGTAACTACCAGGCCCAGGGCGTGGCTCCGGGCTGTCTGCCTGTGGATTCGTTTCTGCCTTTTAGTTTTTACTTCTTCTTTCTTCAGAGGCAGAAATTGGGCATAAGACAATGTGAGGGGTGGGCTCCTCCCTTATCTGGAACAATAGAAGACAGCTGAATTCTCTACTTGCTTCTGCATTCAGTGGGTGATAACACATTTTCTGGGCTGTAGTATTTGAAGAAAATCTAGGCTCACACAGATATATAATTGAAAAAATGAGTGTTAGCCTTTGCAGATGATAATTAACATTACATGTTGTTACAGCATGAAAACCCGGCAGTTGGAGTTGGTAGTTTTTTGTTGTTGTTGGATTTTTTTTTTTTTTTTTTTTTGAGGCAAAGTCTTGCTCTGCCACCCAGGATGGAGTGCAGTGGTGCAATCTCAGCTCACTGCAACCTCTGCCTCCCACGTTCAAGTGATTCTCCTGCCTCAGCCTCCTGAGTAGCTGTCACTACAGGTGTGTGCCACCACGCCTCGCTAATTTTTGCATTTTTAGTAGAGACAGGGTTTCACCATGTTGGCCAGGCTACTCTTGAGCTCCTGACCTCAGGTCATCCACCTGCCTCGGCCTCTCAAACTGCTGGAATTACAGGCGTGAGCCACCGCGCCCAGATAGTTGGTAGTTTCTTAAAGGTTAGTTGTGATGTGGAATCTGAAGCCACATTAATGAACTTTTCCTTTCTTGTTTGTTAAAATCCATTGGTCTTTCTTGCACTTGAGGTGGATTTTCTACCCCTGTGTGATTTTTGCAACACTGTGCATTAATCATTTGGAAGACTCTGGCTCACTGAGTTATGCAGACTTCTCAAATGTTGACACATTTCATATGCATCCCAAAAGAGAACCACTTCTGTTACTCTCACCAGCGATCTCATCAAAAGTCTCCTGGTGTTGGAAACTGTCAAGCTCACAGCAGGCGATATATGTTTTCCAAAATTCTACTTTGTGCTTGAAAGCTTCTGTTTCATTACTGGCAATAAATACTGTCACTTCTTTTCCTTGAAGTGCGAGTCGCACTTTGTTCATTTTTGAGAAAATATCTGCCACGCACCCAAGTCGAAACAGTTCATCTCCCCGTTGTTCTCTCAAGTGAAAATGGTATTTCATAAGAAAAGTTTCTAGCTTAGGTTGCAATCTGAACAATTGCCCAATCCTGTTGACAGAAATACCTGTCACCTTCAATATGCAGCTGTAGAGCTTCCCGTCCTCCTCCAATCCCGTCCTCCTCCAATCCCGTCCTCCTCCAATCCCGTCCTCCTCCAAGCTCATCAGGCAGAATACTCAAAAGACATGGACGGGGGCCACAGTTCAAAAAGACTCATAACTTTTAGTGTTTCATCAAGGTGATTCTTAAATGCAACTGTTTTTTCCTTCTCATTTCTATTTCTTTTTCTTTTTTTTTTTTTTTTTTTTTAAGACAGAGTCTCGCTCTGTCACCCAGCCTGGAGTGCAATAGTACAATCTCGGCTCACTGCAACTTCTGCTTCCCTGGTTCCAGCAACTCTCCTGCCTCAGCCTCCCGAGTAGCAGGGATTACAGGGGTGCACCACTGTGCCTGGCTAATTTTTGTGTTTTTAATAGAGACGGGGTTTCACCATGTTGGCCAGCTGGTCTTGAACTCCTGACCTCAGGTGATCCGCCTGCCTCAACCTCCCAAAGTGATGGGATTACAGGCGTGAGCCACTGCGCCCAGCTCCTTTCTTTTTTGATGAAGGATACAGTGACTGCCGGTGCTGTCGGGCCCACTGCCCTGACTCGTGCTAAAGCCCCAGCAGTTTATCCACCATTGTTTTTACACCTTCAGTGCAGGCGTCGAAGAGCAAAGAAAAGGCAAATGATGTCTTAGCATTATTACAAAAATAGCCTTGCCCTTGTGACCCGCCCCCTAAAGGATCTTAGGAACCTCCAGAGGAGAGGCCCCTGGACCACACTTTGAAGACCACTATTGGAAATCATGGAATCTAATATTCCACGGTAGAAGTTGTGCCCATTGCCCCCTCCATTGTGGGTTGTGATTCCTCACCACCTCCATCTTAACCGGTTCTTCTCCATCTCCACCAGCATAGCCGGTGGTGCTCCCGTCTCAGCCTGATTTCCTCCCGTGTCTCCTCTGTCCCTCTCGTTGAGACTATACGTACTTGCTTATGCCCCATTCAGCACGCCAAGCTGACTTGTTTCAAGTCTGTTTCTGATGGTAAGTCACATTCAGGAGGGTCTTTTATTCCTGAAGCTAACTTTAACTTGGAGCCACGTGCCTGGCTTTTGCCTGTTGAGGAGTGACTTCTGGTCAACCCAATAAACAGAGTGCATGGAGTGCTCCGGCCCCATTCACCCCTGAGGATCTGAAGCTCCAGGTCTGGTTGATACGTCCTGGAGTGGCTGGCAGGTGTCATCTGGCCTCCCCAAATGGAGTCTTCTCTGCCCTCCCTTCCTGGTCTCTGGCTATGAAGAAGGGAAGTTATGTTTTAAAGAATCTAAAGCACAGTACCGTTATCCTTTTCCCCAATTTCGGCCCTGGAAATATATCAACCTCCAGCTGCTGCCCCAGGACACTTCTCAGCTCTTATTTAAGAGGACTCCTTCGGCCTGGAATGCAGGGCAGTGCACATGTCCTTGTCTTTCTTCCTGTTGTGCTGGGCCTCGGGGTATCGTTCTGCCTGGATACAGAAGAAGAGGTACTCCCTGGGACACAGGCTGGACAAGCCCTGTCTGGCGAAGGGGTGGCCTCCAGGTTTTCTGGCTGGTGCAGAGCTGGCAAAAGTGGAAATGGAGGGAGTGAGGCCCTTCCCATCTGGTTACAGGGACTTGTGTTCCTCTGTTTGGGGCAAAGACTTTATCTTGTCAGTGCAGCTTTATCTAAACTGTAGTCTGTGGATGGCGGTATCCCCCTAGATTCCTACAACTGCTTGACGCTTTTTCTCTTGGTTTTTGAAGCTATGACGAGAGCCTGATTTTGTGTCCGTCTCAGTGAATAGTTTTGTAAATAGTTGAGAGAGGAAAATCAGTGAAGTTCAGCCAATTGCACTTGAAACCGGAGGTGGCCTCCCACTGCCTTGTGGGACTCTCCAGTCTCTTCACCTTTGCCACACTCTGGGTGTCCCCATCCGAATCAGTGCACTTCAGGATTCTCAGAAGACAATGGCGTCTAGTGTCCTTCTTGTTTGTGTCACTAAGAATGGATTAATTTTATCTCATCTGAAACTGAAAATATTACGTTTGGCAGACATTCTCTGAACTCTAGAGCAAAAGGAATGTGTTCATTATCATCTAAGGGTACATTTTCCAATCAGTTCAACTTGGCAGGTTCACCAGGAAGCTGTGTCAGTTAAACTCGGATGGTCTAGGAGAACTGTAGTTTTCCTGAGACTTCTGGGCGCTGGATGATTCCTGCTCTGGAAACACCGAGCCGTTTCAGTCGTGCTCTGGGGGAGCTCAACTCTTGCCCCCTGCTGGGAGAGACCCAAAAATGCTTGATCAGGAAACACCATCTGGCTTTGCCCTCAGGACTCTGTGACCGCCCTGGGGAGGGTGCAGTGACCTGCCAACCAAAATTGGTACAATTGTAAACAGCCACAGAAATGCTTGAATGCAATGTCATTTCTATGAAATTAACGTGTTTTCATTCCATTCCATTCCAGCCTACCAAAATTGCCCGTTTGAGCTCAGCCCTCAACACAAAGATGCCTGTGTGCCTTTGCCCAACTTTGGGTCACTATTTTCTGCATAGGAGACGGTTACTGTGTGTGTGTATGTGTCTGTGTCTGTGTGTGTGTGTATGTACATGTACACACTTAAAGCCTGTGGCAAAAACAAGATGCCCAATATATTTCTTGTTTCTGATATTTTTCCAAGGGGGTTGAAGGGCAAGATTAAGAAGGAAAGCTCCAAGAGGGAGCTGCTTTCCGACACTGCCCATCTGAATGAGACCCACTGCACCCACTGCCTGCAGCCCTACCGGCTGCTTGTGAATAGCAAAAGACAGTGCCTGGAATGTGGCCTCTTCACCTGCAAAAGCTGTGGCCGCGTCCACCCGGAGGAGCAGGGCTGGATCTGTGACCCCTGCCATCTGGCCAGGTGAGCCCAGGCCTTGAGGTAAAATGATCTTGATAGTTTCTGGATCTGGCGTGTCCCTTCGGTGAGGCTCGCTGAAGAAGGGTGGATGCACACACGTGCATGCTTGTGTGTGTGTGTGCATGTGTGTGTGTTATTTATGCAGACCTGTGTTCAGCACTTAGGCAGTGCCACGCGCCTGTGTTTGTCACTGCAGAGTCGTGAAGATCGGCTCACTGGAGTGGTACTACGAGCACGTGAAAGCCCGCTTCAAGAGGTTCGGAAGTGCCAAAGTGATCCGGTCCCTCCATGGGCGGCTGCAGGGTGGAGGTAAGCAGTGGATAGTGGGAAGGGCTTTTAGTTCCCAGGCATTTTAGGAATATTAAAGCAGGTTCCTTTGGAGTGTGCGTGTGTGTGTATGTATGTGTGTGTATGTGTGTGTGTGTGTATGTGTGTGCACGTGTGTGTGCGCGCACATGCCTCTCTGTCTCTTCTGCTGCTGTTTTTTTTAATTGAATTTTTGTAGAGACAGGCGTCTCACCATGTTGCCCAGGCTGGCCTCAAACCCCTGGGCTCAAGCAATCCACCCACCTCGGCCTCCCGAAGTGCTGGGGTTATAGGTGTGAGTCACTGCGCCCTGTGAAATTGGCTCCTTTTTATGTGAGGTGCAAACCTCTGCATCCCACTGGCCTGGTCTGAGTGCCTCAGAAGTCCTGGGTGCTGTTGAAGTTGCCAATATTTGAAATTATATTGTTTTCAAATCTTCAAAGTAAGTTGAGAACTCAAAGCCAAGTTTCTGAAACCCAGCTGCTGATTGAATCACCAGGGTGCTTGTTAATACTACATGTTTTCCAAGCCCTTCTTCTCTGGGACATCTGGTTTGGGGCCTAGACTCTCTCTTTTCAACAAACATTTCACATGAATGGTGATTATCAGGATTTAGAGAAATCTGTTACAATTCAGTTGTTTTTGTCTTTTGAATCCAAGTACTTATTTCACAATGACATTGAAATCCAGGCAGTCGTCTTAAACTAAACAATCTGTTTGCCTGTAATATCCCCCATAAGGCATTTGGAAGAGATCTTTTCACGGGGTGGGTGGGAGGATGCCAGAGGCTCTTCTGCGTTTGAGTTTGAAGGGAGCTAAACCAACAGTGTTTTTGAGAAAGTTCACCTTGTCCCTGTTACCTGAGTCCAAGGCTCTTGTCACTAAGCCTGGTCAAGCATTTGGGGGGACAGCCCCCACCAAGCCAGGTGTCTGGGGTCTCAGTGTCCTGGATGACTCCATCTGCAAGGCGAGTTTCTCCAGGGTCACGAGGCAGCTGCCTGGCTCCAGCAGCTGGGCACATCCAGGACAGAGGCTGTGCTTCTGGATTGGGGCGTCCTTACCATGCCCCAGCCCAGGCGTCTCCCCTAGGCCTTCTTTCTGGAGAGACACCTTATTCGTGCCTGTCCCTTAAAGCCCCAAGTTTGATTGGAGAGGCAGAAGTTGGCATATATGCCCTTTGAGCATTCAAGCTCTCACTGGGCCTGCTGCAGGCATTTCAAGGCATCTTAGCACATCGTTTAATTTAGGACAGAGGCCACGGAGAGGCACCCCTGGAGCAGCACGCTGAGCAGCACAGGGTGGCTGCACTTCTTGAGTGGTGGGGGTGAGGGTGGGTGCAGGTGTGATAAATCACCCAAACCAGGGCATTTTTAAGAGTAAAAGGAGGCTCTACTAATAACATGCTGCAACAACAGATGTGACTAGGAATGGCCGATAACATGGGGACAGGCCATCACCCTATTCCTGGGCTGCTTCTTCACAGTGATCATGAAACCCAGCAGCAAATCCTACCTCCCACATGCACACGGCCAGCCTGGAGCCCACCATAGGGTCCTCCTGCAGCCGATGGAGCTTGGTCCAGCCTCCAGTCCACCCCTACCAGGCGTAAGGATAGAAATGACACGTAACACCGGGAAAAGCCATGCTGTCAAGCATCTGAGAATGTCAACCCCAGAGGCAGTCTTTAGGGACTGGGGTGGGCTCAGGAAGCTGTATTATTTCAAAGAATGCAGTGTTTCAACAGCTCAGCCCAGAGGTGCTGGACTTCACACGGCCGGTCAGAACCTGCCAACTTCAAAATCATCACCACCAAGGGCCAGGAGGTGGCGCTGTGGGGCAACAGAAAACAGAAAACAGCTGTTCCTTGAACTTGGATTCCTAGCAGCTCCCCCAAGCGCCCACAGGGGCTGCGTTCCTCCCTGCTGGGCGCCTGTAACTACAACATTAAAACAGGGCGCAAGCAAGGAACACAAAAACTGGGAAAGCTGTGCCTTTAAAAAAAAAAAAAAAAAAGTAGGGTAAAAAAGCTTGAGGTTAATGTTTTGAAACCTGGCCCAGCTAGGGCCTAATGCAGACCTTGTCCAGCTAGTAAGTGGGCCGCTGGGGGTCTTCACTGAGTGAACCTTCAGAGTGCTGGGTGTTTCACCAAGGCCTTCCATAGGGGACCTGGCAGGCTCTGCAGGAGGCAGCCTCGACGGCCGATGGCCAGGAGAGGAAGGGGAAAAGCCCTAGACTGGTCACTGAGCACACAGTTCCCCCACCCTGCTGCCTTCCCTCCCAGTGCCTTTCCGTTTCCCTCGGTGGTGGCTTTGCCTGACAGTGCAGACCTCGCCTGACGTCAACACTAAGTTCTTTATGCTCATGTGGTTTTATTTTTGTTTTCTCCTCCCTATCAAGAGTGGTCAGAAAATCTCTGTTCTGTGTCAGGAACATGGAAGATCTTTTGGATTTTTTTTTTTTTTTGCATGACTTGATCAGATAGGTAGGATAATGTCACCCAAACCCCTGGCCCAAGTGCAGAGTGACAAAAGGGATCAACACTAAAAGGACCCCTGAGATGCCGGGATACTTCCTCTTCACGTTCATCGTGGGGACTGGGGACATCACCCTGACAGGTGGGTCCCCAGGCCCCGGAAAGCCCATTTCCACATCCCTGAGTGCAGGGGGAGTTCACGTCTTGGGGCCTCTGCCTGTTGCTTTGGGATGCATCTCCTCAAGGCACTCACTTGTCCAGAGAGAACAAAACTAAAACCAGGTCTGCTCTCTGGCACTGTCATCTGGGCACTTTTGGAGCCAAAAACCTTGACCTTCTGAAAGTTCACTGAAAAATCATCTCGTAAAAGGCAGATTCGTTGGACAAAAAACATAGAAATGTGTTCACCGTGTATACGTGGGAGCCTTCAGAATGCAGACCCACAGATTCAGGGAAATTGTCCATTTTTATGCTTGGGTTCAAGAAAGGATGGACAGCGTGTGGAAAGGGATTATACAAGGCCAGACCTACTGCTGATAGGCTGAGTAGGGAACCCAGCAAGGCCTGTTTGTCTACGTTCTTCTTGGCCTTTCTTCCTCCAGGAATGGGCGGGACCCTCTCTGGAGTGGGGGGCTTATGACCTAAAGTCAAACCAGGAAGGTCAGATCATTTCTTTTTTATTTATTTATTTATTTATTTTTAGAGATGAGGTCTCACTATATTGCCCAGGCTGGTTTTGAACTCCTGGGTTCAAGCAGTCCTCCCACTTCAACCTCCCAAAGTGCTGGGATTACAAGCATGAGCCACACATGCCCAGCCAGATAATTTCTTTATGGCTAGATTTTACATAGAAAGTAGAGAGAAAGTCAGAGTGGTATTTGCATCTTTTTTGGCTGACTTTGGGAGAAAGGGATACTGGTTTCTATGTCCTGCCTTGTGGAAGAGGGATTCTAGTTTCTATGCTGGCCTTGGGGGAGAATGGGCCTGGGAGACAAGAGGGCAGGAGAAGGTCAGAGAGAAACTTTGCTTCTGAGGCTGCTGCGAAGGCCCTCATTTGGGGGCACTGTTTTCTGAGCCCCAAAAGCATTGCCAGCCAGCCAGTCATCCACTGAGTGTATAAAAATAGACCTGCCAGAGCTCAGACACGGGCACCTGTGGGCCCCTTTAAAACCCTTGATAGCTTTTATCTTTAAGAGAAAGATTCAAGTTAAAGAATACACCAGGCTGCCTCTCCCATCTCTCCTTCCACTGGGGAAATTGAGGCCGTCTGAGCCCAGGCAAGCTGCTGGTCCCCTTGACTCACCCCAGCATCTTCCCAGACATTCCTAAATAGGCAGCAAAGCAGTGAATGGCAGTGGCAGCTTCAGGCAGGACAGGCAGTGACAGCGTGTGCTTGACACCTGATCTCAGCTGTTTGTTATAAAGTCCTTCGTTCAGATTTCAGTTTTGCCAGTTGGTTGACTGTTTCTATCTCTGTATTATAAATGGAAAACTGGACAATGAGACTGAATTTTCCAACCCATATAAAAGATCCCTGCTGGCTCAGGACAGAGCCTGAGAACCTAGAGCCACCCAAGGCCCAGTTGATGGTAGAACTGTAAGCTGGTGTGGACATCACGGAGGAGGGTGTGCAGCATTCGGGGGTGGATGAAGGGAGGTGCACAGTGAGGTCTCCATCTCGCAGGAGGCTTTGGAAGATGCGTCGGTGATTGATTCAGTACATCCACTGAATGCTCGCCAGGTGCCAGGTCCTGGGCTGTCCTGAGGGTAGGTTGGTGGAAGAGCCAGGCCCTCTTCCACACTTGGGGACAGTCCCCACTTGGGGGGGACTGTCAGCATAGCCAGTCCAGCAAATAGGGACACTTGTGCCTCTGAAACTGAAAGCCGCAAGGGAGGAACTTCCTGCAAAGGGGCCCTAGGCCCAAGAGATGAAGATAGGAGCTGCGGGGATCACAGGTGGGCCAGTTGGGGAAATGTCTAAAACAGAAACCGCACAGTCATTTCATATAAGGAACTGGTTCAAATGCTGTTAACGGAGAATGGGAAAAGGAGATACTGAGGTATCAGAGGTCATAACTGCAGGAGTGCCTGCATCCCCCACAACCACCAGAGGTGTAAGCAAAGGGCAGAGGCTGGGATTAATAGAAACAGGCAGCTCCAAGGAGGCCACCCAGGGCTGGAACACAGCCCTCCAAGGTGGGGGTGCCACCAGCCAGTGCCATTGTCTCAGGGGCCATGATGAAGCTGGACCAGCTGTCAGGGTCAAGGGCATAGGGCTGGAAACCACAGGAAGGGGAACATTCCTTCTCCTTCCTTTTCCCACTCCCACTCACTGCAGGCCGAGCCCTCACGGAGCAGCAGACAAGGCAGAGGTGCAGTGTGCAGGGCCAGCTCCCACGTCACAGAGCAAAGCGAAGGTGGCTCTGAGGCCACCCCAGGCCCTGCACCCACAGTCCTGCTCCCCTTTGCAGTTGACAGTGCATACTCCAATGCACCAATGCCTGCTTGTTCACACCTGTGACCCCTGAGGCGCAGAGAGCAAAGTGCAGGCCCCAGGGCAAGGGTGTGCAAGGGCAGCAAGGCCTGGCTGGGCCCAGAGGATCTGACCTCCACAGTGCCAGCTGTGCCCTCAGCAGCCCCTGGAATAGAAAGGTGGATGGTCCACGGGGCCTGCTAGCTCTAATCCCTGGGGTCCCTTTCCTGAATCACTTGCCACAGTCACAGCACAGGCCAAGCCAAGGTGTGTAGGAGAAAGCAGGGAGAGATGGTGGGTCTAGGGAGACCAGGCCCAGGAGCTCAGTGTGGGGAAGGAGCCCTGGGGGGCAGAGAAAGGAGTGGGGGCATGAGGGCTGAGCCTCACCTCCCTCCCTGCAGTGATGAGGTCGGGCCTGCTGACCAGCAAATGCTATGAGCCTGCAGGTAAAGCCATGTGTTTGGGAGAACATGACTTAGCTCTAGGCCTCATTCACACTCCACAGCTCCAGGGTCTTCCTGCTGCCCAATAAGCACAATCCTGCAGACATGGTCAGACCTGTTGGTAATGTTGATTGGTAACCCTGGTAATTGATTGGTAACATTGATGCAGAGTACTGATTTTTACACTGTAATTCAGACCAGCTCCAAGTGATGTTTCGATAGGTCTATGAAAGGCCAGCAGAGAGCCTTCCCTGGATGTTTCTCAGTGAGTGGATGGATTGTGGGGAGAGGGAGAGATGAATGGATGGATGGATGGATGGATGGATGGATGGATGGATGGATAGAAGGACAGATGGATGGTAGGATGGAAGGAAGGAAAGAAGGAAAGAAGGAAGGACGGAAGGAAGGAAGGAAGGAAGGAAGGAAGGAAGGAAGGAAGGGCAGCTAAAGTGGTAGGTGAGTGGATGGATGGATGGATGGGCAGATGGATGGATGGATGGATGGATGGATGGATGGATGGATAAGTAAGTGGATGGGTGGATAGATAGGTAGATGGATGGGCAGATAAGGTGGTAGGTGGGTCAATGGATGGATGGGTGGGTGAGTGGATAGGTGGATGACTGGATGGATGGATGGATAGATAGATAGATAGATAGATAGATAGATAGATAGATAGATAGACAGACAGATAGATAGATAAGTGGATGGGTGGATAGATGGATAGATGTCTGAGTGGATGGATAAATAGATGTCTGAGTGAATGAATGCATTGGTGGGTGGATGGGTAGGCAGCTGGGTGAATAGGTAGATGGATAAAGGAGGGAGGGATGAGTGGTGGGTGGATGGATAGATTAATGGATGGATAGGCAGGTGGAGGGGTGGATGGGTAGGTGAATGAGTGGGTAGATGGGTGGATGCATGGATGGATGGATGGATGGATGGATGGATGGATGGATGGATGGATAAGTAAGTGAATGGATGGATGGATGGAGGATGGATGGATGGGTGGATGGATAGATAAGTAACTGGATGGGTGAATTGATAGATAGATGATGAATGGATGGATAGATAGATGTCTGGGTGGATGGGTGAACAACAGGATGGATGGGTAGATGGATAAGTAAGTGAATGGATGGATGGATGGAGGATGGATGGATGGGTGGATGGATAGATAAGTAACTGGATGGGTGAATTGATAGAAAGATGATGAATGGATGGATAGATAGATGTCGGGTGGATGGGTGTGCAACTGGATGGATGGGTAGATGAATGAAAGAGAGAAGGATGGGTGGTACGTAGATGGATGGATGAATAAATGGATAGGTAGGTGGATGGGCAGATGGGCAGGTGGATAAGTGGGTAGATGGGTAGGTAGATAATTGGGTAGATGGATAGGTGGATGAGTAGGTAGATGGATAGATAGGCTACTGATTGATTGAGTGGATAGATGGATAAATCAATTGATGGGTGGGTATGTGGATGAAGGAGGGAGGGATGGATGGGTCGGTGAGTGGATGAGCCACTGATTGATTGGGTAGATGGATGTATAGATGGATTGATGATGAGTGGGTAGATGAAGGAGGGAGGGAGGGAGGCATGGATGGATGGATGGATGGATGGATGGATGGATGGATGGATGGAAGGATGGATTAATACATGGATGGATGGGCCACTGATTGAGTGGGTGGATGGGTAGATGAATAGATGGGTGGAGGATAGATAGGTAGGTGTGTGGATGGGTGGATGGATTGATGCATGGATGGATGCATGGATGGATGGGCTGCCTATTGAGTGGGTGGATGAGTGGATAAATGGGTGGGTGGGTAGGTGAATAGATGAATAGACTGATGAATAGACAGGGGGGTGGATGAATTGGTAGATGGGTAGATGGAGGTATACATTGCTGGGTGGATAGGTGGGTGAATGGATGAAGGATGGAGGTATGGGTAGATAGATGGATGGTTTAGTGGATGAGTGAGTGGACGGACTGACAAATGGCATGCTCCCAGACTGTTTGTCCTTGGGTGGAGTCATGCAGGTATCTATTGCAGCTGGGCCTGAGTCAATCTCTGAAGAGAGAAGTGGAGACAGCGAGCAGACAGATGAGGAAGGAGAACTGGACTCAGAGGCCCAGGCCCAGCCCTTTGGCAACGAAGTAAGTCATCTCCAGTCACCCCCTCCTCAGCCAACTCAATTCCACCCCGCAGCTGGAACGTCAGGTTCTGATTTCCTGAAAAACTCGATGGCCTCTCCACAACTCCACTAGTTCCTACTGCGTGAGCACCAAGAATCTGCTGCCCTTTCCCAGCCCTCAGTAGTCTCTGAGATCATTGGGCACCAGGCAGGAGCAGTGCTTCCACCATCAGAAACCTCAAAAGCAATGTGTGGGATAGGCAAAGCCTGCTGAGTGTGTGGCTGTCGGGCAGGCAGAGGTCCTGAAGCGCTCTCAGGGGTCCTGAAAGCAGCTGCCTTTGCAGCTTTCAGAAAAGTGGACCCCTCAGGCTCTCCTCTGAGAGCTTTTCTCCTTCTGTTTTTTGTTTGTTTGTTTGTTTTGGTCAACCATGAGCCTTGTGTTTTTGTTTTCAAGTATTATTTAACTTATTTTGGGTGGGCGAGACAAGCAAGGTAACCCCTGGGCTTTGGGGTGGGATGCAGGAAGTGGGAGCAGCTGGAAGAAGGGACTGGGTAGGTGAGCAGAGGTTCAGACTTAGACGCTTGGAGAGAAATGGGCCAGTGACATGCAACATGAACAAGGTTTTTGTGGCTGCTGTGAGGGGAATATCATCCTCTTTCGTTTGAGAACATTTGATTCATGCTATTTATGAAGCTCCCAGAATGCTCTCCAGTGCCTGGAGTATTCCCTACATGATAGAGCAGTTTAAAGAATCAAAAGAATTATAACGAAATAGGGGTTTAGAGCTAAATGCAGGCTCTTGCATCTAAAGAACAAGGAACTCTCAGGAGCTTGCCCACCTCTGCCTCTCTCAGCCATCGTGCCCCCCTTTCCCAAAGCCCCAGGGACCCTCCCCTCTCCCAGCCCTGGAACAGCTTGCATGCCCCCCAGGTGGGGCCCCTGGGGCAAGGGCAGGGGTTCAACTCAGTGCTCCTTCTGCTCAGCCAAGGTTCTGGAGATGCAGATCCCATGTCCTGGGTGGGATGGGCACCGTGAGCACCAACCAGTCCTCCCACCATCTCCTCCTCTAGGCTCGGTCAGGTTCGTTCCTAGTGGAGGAGGTGGATGTGCTGGAAGAGGAGCCTGCCCCACCACCCTGGGGGCTGAGTATGGGTTTGGGGAGGTGCGGGGTGTTTGGTCCTCTCCCTCAAGCTAGCCCTGACTTGAGTCTTGTCCTGTCTTGTGCCTGCTGAGAAAAAGCGCCTCCTCTCCATCCAAGACTTCGACTTCGAGGGAGACTCAGATGACTCCGCTCAGCCTCAAGGTCACTTCCTGCACCTGTCCTCAGTCCTTGAGGCCAGGGACAGCCTGCAGGTCAGTGAGTCCTCGTGTCTTTCCCCTGCTCTTCCCAGGAACCTGGGTGGCAGGTGCTCAGGCCCCAGGTGAGGGACAACACTCTGGAAACAGTGTCTGATGGCAGCACAGTCCCACTGGCTCCCAAGGCATGACAGGGCAGGGGGCCCTTGTGGGAAGACAGGATCCAGAGACCTCACACTCCCTCAGGATTAGCATGTCTGGAGATACTGAGCAGGCAGCTTGGAGAAGCAGGGGGTGATGCAGGGCCCTGAGGCTGGACAGATGAGCTGGGGCCCAGGGATCGGTGCTTGGCACAGAAATAAGGCAGAACCCCCGAGACTCGGGAGGGTAGGACAGAGAAGGGCATCTGAGATAGAGTCAGGCAGGGCCTGCCATGATGCCTGCATCTCCATCTTACTGGGAGGGGTACATACACTTTATCGCTCAAACTAGGACAGTCCTGTGATATCGGCAGCTATTAATGACCACACCTAGACACAGGGCATATGCAGGGGCCGTCCAGGTGAACAGGACATGTGGCCGCCTTACTCATTAGGTGTGTGGCCTTTGTCCCTGGAACTTCTTCAAGGTGCTCATTAGTGGTCATTGCTGGTTGATCATTATTCATTAGTATTTCTGTTGCGATTGAAATTACTCAAGATAATAGATTAGATAATTAGGAGTAGGATTAGAAGGGATGGGATAAAACAAGAGAGAAAGTAGAGTGATCAGGCCTTTCTGAGTAGATACGGTAACGGAGGCTGAAATTTGGGTTTGTGTAAAGGTCTTTGGTATAGTTAAATTAGGTCAAGAAGTGAAGCCAGATTTTGGCTTGTGAATAGGCTTGAGATGGGGGTTGTACAGTGAATTGTGGCTGAATAAAATCCTAGTATGTTGGAGAAGTTAAATATCCGTAATGGGTGTTTTAGTTTAAGGTTATTAGTTATGAGATTAAGCTCCATTGCTAGCAAGAAGCCTAAGGTGTTTACACCTAGGGCTGTGAGCTTCAGGTAGAGTGGTATGGTTTTTTGAGGGAATGAAGCAGGAATGATAGTGTTGGTGATGAGGAATCTGGCAAAGATGCTGCCAATTGTTAGGCGCTTAATTGAGTTAATTAAGAAGGGGTTATTTTCATTAATAGTAACCAGAGTTGTGAAGCAAGGTTGTCCTATTAGAGCGAAGAAAATAATAAATGTACTATAGACAGGCTGTTAAGGAGGTGGCAATAAGATAATAGAAAGGGCTCAGGCGTTGGTGTATGACGTGCTTGTGGTTTCAATGATGAGGTCTTTGGAGTAAAAGCCTGTGAGGAAAGGCATACCTGTTAGTGCAAGGCTGCCAATAACAAGGGAGGAGGAGGTGAGGGGTAGAGTCTTGAATAGCCCTTATTTTTCGGATGTCTTATTCATCCGTCATTGAGGTTGTGGATGATGGACCCTGAACCTAAAATAATATAGCTTTAAAAAAAGCGTGGGTGCAGATGTGAAGGAATGCTAGGTGTGGCTGATTAATGCCAGTTGTGAAGATTACAGGGCCTGGCTGACTTGAGGTGGAGAATGCCGTGATTTTTTTAATGTCATTTTGTGTTAGAGCACAGATTGCTGTGAATATGGTAGTAACAGCCCCCAGACATAATGTAAAGGTTTGGATTGATAGGTTATTTTCTATTAAAGCTTAGAAGCGGATGAGCAGGGAAACTCCTGCTACAAGCACAGTGCTGGAGTAGAGTAGGGCTGAGAGTGGGCTTGGGCCTTCTATGGCAGATGGGAGTCAGGGATGGAGGCCCAACTGGGCTAACTTTGCCACTGCTGCAAGGAGAATGCTAATTCATGGAAGGGGTTGGGGGTGGGGTCTAGAATAAATATGTGTTGAAATTCTCCTGTATTGGAGGACAGGAGGAACCATGCTATAGCTAAAATAAAGCCGGCCGGGCGCGGTGGCTCAAGCCTGTAATCCCAGCAATTTGGGAGGCCGAGATGGGCGGATCACGAGGTCAGGAGATCGAGACCAGCCTGGCTAACACAGTGAAACCCCGTCTCTACTAAAAAAATACAAAAAAAACTAGCCGGGCAAGGTGGCGGGTGCCTGTAGTCCCAGCTACTCGGGAGGCTGAGGCAGGAGAAGGGCGTAGACCTGGGAGGCGGAGCTTGCAGTGAGCTGAGATCACACTGCTGCACTCCAGCCTGGGCGACAGAGCGAGACTCCATCTCAAAAAAAGAATAATAATAATAAAGCCAATATCGCCGATGCAGTTGTACTGCACTGCTTGAGGGCTGCGGTATTAGCATCTGCTCGGCCGTACCACCAGCCGATTAGTAATAAGGGCATCATTCCTACACCTTCTTATCTGATAAAGAGCTGAAGGAGGTTGTTGGTGGTAACCAGAATTAATATTGTGATGAGGAAAATAAGTATTTGGAAAATTGATTAATGTTGAGGTCTGAGTTTAAATATCATATTGAGAATTCCACAATAGATCGGGTAATGAAGAGTGCTGCTGGGATAAATATTGTGGAGAAGTGGTCTAGTCTGAAGCTTAGCGAGGGTTTGAGAGTCTGGATTGTCAGTGTGAGATAACAGCTTCTTGGTCTGTGTATATAAACGTTGTTGTAGGGATGACTGTAACGATGAAGGCACGTGCAATAGATGGTTTTACGTAATTTGGGTATGAATCTTTTTTGCAGGGATTGGCTAAGGTAATAGTAATTGGTAAGATTAAGGGGATTAGGGCTGTTATAGCAGGGGAAGAATTCATGTTTGTTATTTTTATTTGGAGTTGCACCAATGTTTTTGGTTCCTAAGACCAACAGATGACCTAATCCTTTAAAAGCTGACAAAGCCATGTTTTTAGACATAGGGGCATGAGTTAGCAGTTCTTGCATACTTTCTCGGTAGGTAAGAAGTTGCAGGCTTCTATTGTTAGATCCACAATCTAATGTTTTGGTTAAACTATAGCTACAGCATGCAAACCCCATAATAATTTTAGGGTTTAAGGATAATAGGAAGATAGGCACAAGGTGTATAAGTATTCATGTATTTTCTCGTGTAAAGGAAGGTTTAATACTGTTAATAGACAAGTGTCCCTCGTTGTGTCATGATTAGCATATACAGGGAGTAAAGGGCTGTAATTAGTATATTAAGTCCTATAAGCATAATGGTGATATTTGATCAGGAGAATGAGGCCATAGTCACAAAGTGTTCTCCTACTAGCTTACTGGTAGGGGGTAAGGCAAGATTAGTAAGATTTGCTAGACGTCATCAAGAGACTACTACTGGGAGCAGTGTTTGAAGGCCTTGGGTAAGTAATATGGTTTGGCCTAGGATTAAAATGGTAACTAGTATAAGGGCTGTGCTGGTTATTAGTGTCAGGTGGCTTGTTTGAAGGGCTCATGGCAGCGGTAGTAGTAAAGCAATCTCTAAGTCGAACAGGAGGAATGTGATGGCTACTAGGAAGAATTTTATGGAAAAGGGGAGGTGGGCAGAGGCTATTGGGTCAAATCCTCATTCATAGGGGCTAGATTTTTCTATATAAATATTAAGTTGTGGGAGCCAAAATGCGATTATTCTTAGTAATAGGGCTAGTAAGGTGTCAGTTACTAGGGCTAGTGTCAAGCTGATTATTTCTGCCCTACAGGATCATTTCAAGGATGCTGTATTAGGGTTTTCTTAGAGGGACAGATCTAATAGAATATATATATACACACATAGGGGAGTTTATTAAGTATTAACTTACATGATCACGAGGTCCCACAATAGGCTGTCTGAAAGCTGAGGAGCAAGGAGAGCTGGTCCGAGTCCCAAAACTGAAGAGCTTGGAGTCCGATGTTTGAGAGCAGGAAACATCCAGCACAGGAGAAAGATGTAGGCTGGGAGGCTAGGCCCGTTTTGTTGCTTCACATTTTTCTGCCTGCTTTATATTCACTGGCGGCTGATTCGATGGTGTCCACTCGATTAAGGGTGGGTCTGTCTTCCCCAGCCCACTGACTCAAATGTGAATCTCCTTTGGCAACACCCTCACAGACACACCCAGGACCAATATTGCATCCCTCAATCCAATCAAGTTGACACTCATTACTAATCACCATAGATGCTGTACCTGGAAGGCATGAGACTCACAGGTAGGCAGTAAAGGTAACTATGGGCGCTGAGCCAGGCCCAGGCCCAGGCCCAAGGCCAGCTTCATAGTGAACTCCTGAACTCCATTCCCAGCATCCCCTGGGCACATGCAGTGCTGAGCCAGAGTTGGGGCGGGGCTGGGTCCACCCCGGCCAGTCTGAAGACCCCTCCAGGAGGAGGGAGAAGCAGGGTGGGTCCTGGAAGCCAGCAGCCAATTGGTTTCTGGGCCACAGGTCCTGCTCTAACTGGAGGCTGGCCTAAGTGTGCATTGCCTCTGGCCTCCACCCCCCACTCACAGTCAAACTGGAAGGGTGCTGTGGCATATTACTTCTTGAAGCCCTCAGCACCTCCTCTCTTTGGGGACAATGATATAACACAGAGACCCCTCTGCTGGAGGGATGTCCGGATTACAGCCAAGGAGCTGCCAGGAAGCCCCAACCCACCTTTCTGATCTTCAAAGATTAAGGTGTACATAGTTAGTAACAGTGTACCCTTCTCCCAAAAATATGAACTTCCCTGCCCACGTCCTCGGGGCTTTGGTCTCTAGGTGATTCTGAGCCCCCTGAGGCTGTGTCAGGAGAATTTTGGTCCCCTTGTGTCATGCCTGGCCCAGGGTGTCATTGGGAACCCCAACATTGCACAGACACATGCAATAGGCAGTCAGTAGGCAACAAATAGGCAATATATGCTTTCGCACAGTCTTCGAAATTAAAGAGAACTGAGTAGCAGGGGCCAGCACGGATGGGCGTCTAGTGCTGGGTCAGTCAAGTGCCTGGAAAGCCTCAGGGCCTGGATTGAAAGACCCACATTCCAGGCAGCGGCCCCTCCTAGTAAACCCCGCAGAGGAGGCTGACAGCCCCATGTGCTTAGTCCCTCACAGATGAGTCCTGCTCGGAGAAGGCAGCCCCCCAGAAGGCTGAGGGCCTGGACGGGGCTGACACTGGGGCCTCTGGGTGCCAGCGCCATACAGAAGAGGAGCCGATGAGCGTCTCGCCTTCTGGACACGGCGCCCTCGCTGAGCTCTGCCCGCCTGGAGGCTCCCACAGTATGGCCCTGGGGGCCGCTGCTGCACTCAGTAGGTGCCCTTGGCCAGGGTCTTCCTGATGGGCTCGGCATGGGGGAGCGGGTCACTGAGAAACAACCCCAACACCCTGACCTATGCCTTCACACGGGCTGATTTGAAAGGCCTCTTCCTTTGGCGTGATTGTCCAGGACGTGCAGTCCCAGCAAACGCCGTGGACACCTGCCCTCCCTGGGATGTGTGCTTCCCTGTAACTCTCAGAACTTCCAGCACAGGAGGTGGCCAGCCCACAGCTCCCTGCTGCTGGCCTGGGGTGGGACATGCAGGCCTCCCTGAAATGACTAGAACCACTGGTCAACCAGCCAACTATCCTGGTCTGGGCAGGATGGGCATCTGGGCATCGCCACCACTGGCCCACAGTCGGCTCAAGGCTGTTGATCAGGAGATCTTCAAGCGCTGAGAACCTAAATCTGCTCGGCTTAACTTTGTGTCAGTTTTGATTTGAAATGAAATCCCCAAATCTCTGTCTTTTCTGGTAGCCCGAGGTTGTATGTACCGTGGGTCCAGGAGTTCAGATGTCCCATCAGAGCAGGAACAAGTAAGATGACAGCAGCAGCCAGCTTCCCCTGGCCACAGTGAGTGGCTGCGTGCGGGAAGGCTGTCTACTCTCCAGCTTCCCTCTTCATTGTATTGAAGGGACCATAATCTCATGGCCCTCATGCTGACGGGAACCTTGGAAGCTTTGGGAGGAAGGCAGGGTTCTACTTTCCCCCAAAATAATGAATAAATGAATCTACTTTGGCCAAGCCACAGGATGCAGACCTGGACAGCAGTTTTGTTTCCCCTGTGATCTCAAGTCCTCTGAGCACGTGGACAGGAGGCAGTGTGGGGAGAGGCCAGGAGAGACTGCATCGTGCTGGGAGAGCTGCCTCGGAGTTAGGCAGTTCTGAGTTCGGAGCCACACACTGCCAGTCTGTTTCGCTGGTTCTCACACACATTCTTTTTACACATCAGCCTCTCAAATGGGGAGTGTCTTACAGTGAATGCAGGAAGAAAGTCTTAGTGAATGTGGTAAGAAAGGGGTGTGCTTGAGTCTCACTGGCAGCACTGTCTCTCAATAGTACAACATCCAATCTGCAAAGTCTGAGATTCAATGAGATATGCTGTGCTGTTAGAACAAATTGCTTAAGCTCTGTGCACCTCAGTTTCCTCATTGTACAAAAGGGGTTAATAATGTCTAACTCATCCCATTGTCATAGGGATTAAATGAGATGGCTGAACCTGTTTGACTACATAGCAAATTATCACAAACCTAAAATGTGACGTGAAACAACACAGTTATGATCTCATCGTGGAATCTTGTGTTATTTGCAATTTGAAATTGAGAATCATGTTACATTTGCTTTTCAAACATGCAAAGTATGTCCACTCTTATCCCCACCCGCACTGCCAGGCAAGGGCCTCTTTTTTCCTGAAGATCTTTGTGTGTGGCCGTGGAATCTGCCCCATTCTTACTGTGACTTTAGAACCTCAGCCCCGTAACATGAACATCATTAGTCTTCATTTTCTTTGAGCTCTCATTTTTCTTCATTGGACTAAACACGTCCATCGGCTTTCAACTTTTCACTCTAAGTAATTCAAACTCACTCTTGCTCCGAAGGGTCAAATGTCATCAGGAATGAGCAGCTGCCCCTGCAGTACTTGGCCGATGTGGACACCTCGGATGAGGAAAGCATCCGGGCTCACGTGATGGCCTCCCATCATTCCAAGCGGAGAGGCCGGGCATCCTCTGAGAGTCAGGTAACAGTGGCTGGAAAGACTTCTGTCTTGTCATTTCTTCAGGTGGAGTCTTTTTACTTCCACACCAAGTCACTTTAGAGAAATTGCAGCTCTTAATACTTTCAGACTATGAAATTGCACAAGCCTACTTAATGGAGGTATGTCATCACAGTATTTTTTATGGAAGTGAATTCACATAACAGAAAATTAACCATCTTAGTATGGCCATTCCCCCAAAATTAAAAATACAGTTTCCCTATGATCCAGCAATTCCGCTTCTTGGTATACACCCCAAAAAATTGGAAATAGGGACTGAAAAAGATATTTGCATCCCTGTATCCATATTATTATTTGTAATAACCAAAAGATGGAATCAACCCGAGCGTCCATTGACAAATGAATGGATAAAAAAATGCAGCATGTACGCAGCACGGGGTATCATTCACCCCTAAAAAGGGAGGGAATGCTGACACATGCTAGACCATGGATGAACCTTGAGAACACTGTGCTAAGTGAAATAAACCAGTCATTCTGGACAGATACCATATGGTTCCACTTAATCTGAGGTTCTTAGTCAAATTCATAGAGACAGAAACCAGAATAGTAGTCAACAGGGGCTGGGGTCAGGGGGATGCGGAATTAGTGTTGAATGGGCAGAGTCTCCGCTTTGCATGATGAAAGGAGTTCTGGAGATGGACAGTGGTGACGGTCATACAACAAGGTGAATGTACTTAATACCTTGAAAATGGATAAAAGGGTAAAATTTTATATCTATTTTATAATTTAAAAATTTGAGAAAAGGAATATCTTATGGAATTTAGGGGAAAATAATCTTATGTCTTTCAAAAAATTTGTTATTTATTTATTTATTTATTTTTAAGACGGAGTCTCCCTCTGTGGCCCAGGTTGGAGTGCAATAGTGCGATCTCGGTTCACTGCAACCTCCGCCTCCCGAGTTCAAGTGATTCTCCCTCCTCAGCCTCCTGAGTAGCTAGGAATACAGGCGTGCACCACCATACCTGGCTAATTTTTGCATTTTTAGTAGAGATAGGGTTTCACCTTGTTGGCCAGGCTAGTCTCAAACTCCAGACCTCAGGTGATCCCCCCACCTCAGCCTCCCAAAGTGCTGACATTACAGGCGTGAGCCACCGTGCCTGGCCAAAAAATTAACTTTTAAGGTGTACAATTCAGTGACAGTACATTTACAGTGTTGTGTAACCACCACCTCTCTCTAATTCCAAAACAACTTCACCCCCCAAAAAAATCCCATACCCATGAAGCAGTTATTCCCCAGTCTCCCTTGTCCCCGGCCTCTGACAACCACCAGTCTTCCTTCTGTCTCAGTGGATTTGTCTATTCTGGACATTTCATGTAAATGGACTCACAGAAGGACATCTGGTCTTTTGTCATGAGCTCCTTTCACCGAACATAATGCTTCTGAGGTCCATCCATGCTGTAGCACATATGGGTGCTTCATTCCTTTTCATGAAAATATATATTTTATACTCGATCAAGTATTATATATTTTACAAGAGGAGGAAATAACCTGTCACCTATGTGAAACCCTTAGCGGGCTGTATTATTATTTTTTTTTTCAGATAGATTCTTGCTCTGTTGCCCAGGCTGGAGTGCAGTGGAGCAATCTCGGCTCACTGCAACCTCCACTTCCTGGGTTCAAGCGATTCTCCCACCTCAGCTTCCTGAGTAGCTGGGATCACAGACACCCGCCACCATGCCCGAATAATTTTGTATTTTTAGTAGAGATGGGGTTTCACCAGGCTGACCAGTCTGGTCTCAAACTCTTGACCTCAAGTTATCTGCCCGCCTCGGCCTCCCAAAGCATTGGGATTACAGGTGTGAGCCACCATGCCCAGCCCCTTAGCAGGTTTTATATAGGCATCAAGAAACTCCACTCATAATACTTAACACCTGTTAAATTAGTAGAATCACTCACATTGTAGACATTAACTTATGAAATAATTCATCACAAGATTTAAGTGCTCTGAGTTCCGCTCGCTGCGTTTAAATGATGATTCTGTTGAGTTAGCTGATTTCAATTTGAGCAAGTTCATGTTGCTGGGGGAAAGGCAATATTGTTTCTTCTGAGAACATTATGGCCACTAGATTCTTTAAGGCAATGAAAGACACAGGCTATTAATGTCTCTGATAGAGCTTTGACTCCAGCAATGTAATCACAGGATGGGGGCTGTTCGGTAACTGATGACTCTTGAGGCACGAAACCCAGAGAAGGGGAAGTGGGGCTGCTCTGAATGGAGATGGAACCGCAGTTTCACCAAGGCTGGTCTCAGGTACATCTTCTGGTGCCTGGATGAGTGTAGGTCCAGCTCCTTGGGCATAGTGATGCCTGGTACAGAGCCCCTACTCCCTCCTTCTGGGAGAGCTGGGGAAGGGAAGGGCTCTGTAGAACTTCCCTTTGGGCCTGTGGGCTGTCAGGAGGGAGGCTGAGCGAAAGCTGAGCCTTGTCAGGAAAGGCCTGGAAGCAGCAGGGAGGCAGATGGTGCCCAGCTGGGGTTCTCAAGGGGCAGGCGAGGTGGGCGGGGCACACAGAAGCTGCTCTGCAGGGTCCAGGGCTTCTCCAGCGCCCCGGCCCTTCAGTGCACAGGAGGACCTGAGATGGAGCATCACCCAACTCTTCAGCCACAGGGCTGCAGATTCCTCTCCCAAGGCCTTGGCCTACACTGTGGCAGTCACTAGACCAGCACTGGCTCAGGAGTGGGCAGCAAGGAGAAGTGTGCGGTGGGCCCCGGGCTTTTCTGAGCTCTCATTCAGCAGGAAATCTGTCCTGTGGCTGTTCGCACAGGGCCAAACCTTCGCGTGCATGATAAGTGGGGGGCTCCTCCAACCTCCTGTCACTTTGCTTCTGCACCCAGAGAAATGATCTGCCACAAACGGGCACCAGAATTTCAAAAAGAGCCTTTCCTAGCATGGCAATATGGGGAATCGCAGGGGTTTGGGTTCTAAAATTGGGCTAGCGTCCACAGGGCAGAAGTGCGCAGTTTCTGAATTCAGCATCTCTCCGGAGTCAGTGCCCTCGGCTGACTTTTTACTGTAGTGTCATCTGGAAGCTTCCTCAACCCTGGGTGGAAATTTCTCCTGCACCAACTTCCTTGAGGGCCCACTTAGTCTCTGAAAGAAGCACCCTTGCCCCTGAGCATAGCCGGGCATGAAAGGCCCTGAGAGGGCCTGCATGGAGACTACTTATGGCCGCTTCACCCACTGGCCCCACAGTTCCTGAGGCATAGAACTCCTTTGATGTAACAGCAAGCAAGGCCCTGATGCAAGGAAGTGTCCTTTCACTCAGATCAGGGAGTGACTGGCTTGGGCCCTGCAGTTTCTGTGTCTCAAGAGGACCTGGAAGCTGCAGGTGTGCTGAGCCCTGGCAGGGACTCAGAGCAGACCTGGTGCTGCAACATTCACGCCTCCACCACCTGCATTCGCAGATCTAGTTCTGAAACATGGAATACGCACAAGTCGGGCAGAGCAACTTCATTACTCACAGACAGGCAGCAAGGTCCCCCAGGCTCAGGGAAGCTGCAGGGAGGGTAGAGTCTCGGCTGCAAGTGTCCTGTGTCATGCGGCAGCTGGGGGACCCCAGAAAGCATTCCTCTCTGAGTCTTATACCCTGGGAAACTGGGATCACTGGGCCAAAGGATATCCAGTTCTAGAGCTCTAGACAATCCAGACAGTTCTTCCTTGTATCAGAAAGTGGCTTTCTTGGCACATTCTACAGTTATTCTGAAAAAAGGGGAAGAGCCGACTCAGCCAAGTCCATCCAGGGACCTGTGGCTGCAGGGGACAGTGGAGGACCAGGGTGGCCAGGATAGAGACCTCTTGGGTGAGGCCAGGATAGAGACCTCCCCGGTGTGGCCAGGATAGAGACCTCTTGGGTGTGGCCAGGATAGAGACCTCCCCGGTGTGGCCAGGATAGAGACCTCCCCATTGTGGCCAGGATAGAGACCTCTTGGTGAGGCCAGGATAGAGACCTCTTGGGTGTGGCCAGGATAGAGACCTCTTGGGTGTGGCCAGGATAGAGACCTCCCCAGTGTGGCCAGGATAGAGACCTCCCCAGTGTGGCCAGGATAGAGACCTCCCCATTGTGGCCAGGATAGAGACCACTTGGGTGTGGCCAGGATAGAGACCTCTTGGGTGTGGCCAGGATAGAGACCTCCCCAGTGTGGCCAGGATAGAGACCTCCCCAGTGTGGCCAGGATAGAGACCTCCCAGGCTGGCCAGGTAGAGGCCCATGGCAGATCCTTGGCTGGCTGAGCATCTCCTAGCTTCCTAGTCTGAAGACAATGGGATGAAGAAGAGAATCAAGTTGTCTGTTTTCAGTAAACCTTTAGTTTAGCAACTTTAGTAGCATTTAGTAAAATACGTATCATGGTATCCAGCCCCGCTGAAATCAATTATCTTTTATACCTGCTTGGAATTATTCTCTAGTTCATGTTTGTATATCCTGCCTCTGGAATTGTTTCTCTTTATTTATTCCTATGAACTTGTATTTACTTTTTCAACCCTAAATAATGAGATTCAGAAAATATAAATAAGTATTAGTAAATCGAGTTTATCAGAACAAAAGCTTGAGAGTGGCCACCCGGAAACACAGACTCCAAACAAATAGGGCCCCAAGTGGACTAGTGAAGGTTCCACTTCTGTAGAAATGTTAGCAGGATCACATCCTTGCGGAGGAACAGTGACCTGGGGGGCCCTTATCTCCAATCCTGTTTGGTCTTAATTATTTATAGGGGGGGAAAAAAAAAGGTAGAAGTTTCAGCTATGAAACATGTCCTCTCAAGACTTAGAATTTAAAGTTCCAACAGCTTTATTTGAATTATTTAATGTCACAACCTCAACTAATATTTCACTTAGATTGTTTCCCATGCATCTTTATGTGGAGGAAATTAAGCAACAGAAGGAAGCTCCAAACGCAGCAGCAATTCTGTACTTCAGAGAAAAAACCCAGACAGACTCTTAGAGGGCCTTTGTGAAGTGACTGCCATGGGACCCCAGGAGGAAGCCCTCTCAATCTGCCCATCAACCCCAAGACTCCCAGTCATGCCCTCAGAGCCTGAGCATTCTCAGGAATCGTATTTTATCACGGCTCCTCTGAGGAGGCAATGCGTTGCCTGCCTTTGCATTTGTATTTACAGCCACAGCTTTCCAGATGAGGGGTAATCAGAAAAGACTCCCTGTAGATATTGCTCAAGCCCAGACAAGGCCCAAGATGGCATAAACGTGTGGTAGGAAGGAAGCTTCCAGGGGGCTGAGATGGGAGACGGGAGAGGACACCACCCTGGCACGTACCCTCCGCCCCCTCACTCCTGAGGGCTGGCCGCGGGGCCATTCATGCGTGCTCAGGCTACAGACACGAACAGTTTCCCATAAAAGTGTCACCAGTGACACATTTTGTTGGTTTGTTTTAATCCCTAGCCAGTGTCTGTATTGCATTTGTAAACTTTAAACTTTGATATTGTTGCGAATTGAAAGCACAAGGGGTTCATACCTAGTATTCCATCCGTATGTATCTAAGTAAAGTGATAATCCTGACAACTGGTGCCCATGCAGGGTCAGACACCCAGGTCTGAGTGATGCTACTCCCCCCAGAGCAGTTGCTACTCTTGGAGAAATTTAATTTTTTTAAAAACCCGAAATCTTTTCATTACCCAGAAAATCTCTCCATAAGGGTAGCAGAGAAAGAAGACAGTTTTATTCTTGAACAAGCATCAAACCAGCGTATGGCACATGCCCCAGGCAATCCGCTGACAGATTGCAAAGACAGGAAGGGCTCTCAGCCCTTATGCAGCCCGGCAGGCCCAGCCCATTCTACACAGTTCTCAGCACAAACCATTACCAGTCCTCACCAGTGGGAGGACCTGATGGCACCTTTGATCGCAGTGCACATCCTCGCTCTAGCATCATAACCGGAGACCACTGTGTGGGCTTTAACCAGAAGAAAAGCAACCTTCTCACACATCTTTAAGATGGGAGCTAGTTTTGCCAACTGAAGCAAGGTGCCCACCCACGTCAGCCTCTTCACCCTCTCTTGGGGAGTGGGAGCTAGGGTTATCTCCAGGGATGTTTCCATTTCAAAAACACAGTTCCCAGGTGGCGTTTTGAGACTGCAGAGAGGCTTTTTAGCCATTTTAAAGATTTAAATTTATTTGGAAAAAGCAGAGAAAGAAGCTCTGAAAGACAAGGGGGCAGTGGGAAGTCTCTTCTCTATTTTCTTTCTTTCTTTTTTTTTTTTTGTCAGAGTCTTGCTCTTGACACCCAGGCTGGAGTGCAAAAGCATGATTTCAGCTCACTGCAACCTCCACCTCCCAGGTTCAAGCGATTCTCCTGCCTCAGCCTCCCAAGTAGCTGGGATTACAGGCACCCACCACCACGCCTGGCTAATTTTTGTGTTTTAGTGGAGACAGGGTTTCGCCCTGTTGGCCAGGCTGATCTCAAACTCCTGACCTCGTGATCTGCCCCCGCCCCCCTCAGCCTCCCAAAGTGCTGGGATTACAGGCATGAGCCACCACAGCCGGCCTCTTCTCTATTTTCAGCAGGCAGAGTGAGCGCCTGATTTTTCCAGTGTGTTTGCATTTGCCCCCACACCACTTGGGCACTCAGCAGTCGCCGAGGAGCTGCTGCACCTGCATGTGGGCTTGTCTGAAAGGGGCCCGGCGCTCCCGAAGCCAGGGTTGCATCATACTCATTGTGTCCATGCTGGTCACCTCCTCAGTGTGGGAGCCTGGACACAGCCAGGGCCTTGTCAGAAAGCAGCATGCACTCACCCTGAGCTCACTTCCCACTCTTCCCTGCTGGCCTCTCCCTGGTTCCCTGCCGCCGCCGCCCACCTGTAGCTCCTGCCCACTTCTCGCAACCCCGACCTCCTCCATCCTGCTTCCAGTTTCTCCCCGTGTGCATTTTCCCCTCTCTTCCACTCTGGATGTGACATTTCCCAGTGATGGTGTCAGGCACTGGCTGGGGAGCTGTTACCCTCTCCTGAGTCCGCATGTGTGCCAAGCCCACTGCTTCCGGGAGACAGAGGCTGTATGCCCAGGGCTGTCTCCCCGGGGTATTGATCTCTGCTTCTGCAGATGCTCAACAGGACCAGAGGGTGACTCAGTTACTAGTGGCCACTCAAGGCGTGGGCTGAGGTCTAACCGAAATCCTGGTGTTGACATTTCTCAGCCAATCATGTCCTTCGGGGAGATTTGCCCACTCAAAGCCCTTGGTGCTGTGATGATTCAACTAATTACCAACCAAACAATACAAAAGCATCTTAACACTCCACAGCACCACTTCCCCCTTTTAAAGCCAGGTGAGCTGTAAATGAGATAATGGCAGGAAAGATGCATCTGCTGAGCGAGGAAAATAACTAGAAAATTGATTTCTCATGTCTCAGTCTGGGAGCTAATAGACTTTGGGTGACTCAAGAGTCTGGTGACTCAAGGGATGAGAAAGTCGTACCTCTGGTCCCTTTATGTTGTCACCTGAAGTGCCTTGCCTCCTAGCCTACTAGTGACCCAAGGCTCTTGCTAGTTTGATCACTGTAGCGTGATTAACTGATATCTTCCTGTGCTGCTCAGTACCGGCAGTGACAGTGGCTGTCCACACTAATGACAACATCACAACCTTCCAGATTCAGCTCCTTGTCCTGCTGGACTCGGCTCCTCTCCTGCCACTTTCACTGTCCTACTCTCCGCTCTTGGTTCTGCTCTAACATTTTGCTTGGTGTTCCAGAACTCGTGGTGTCAGAAATGGGTTTCACAGTTAACCTTCCCAGGCCATGTCATGGGTGGTGGCCTTAGCTCTCCTTCTACTTCTTGGGAATTTGGTGCTTCTGAGGTGGTGGGTGCCAGTGTCTTGCTGGTGGGAGTGCGCTGGGTCCTCTGCCCACTGTTTCTCTCCTTCTGCTACAGATCTTTGAGCTGAATAAGCGTATTTCAGCTGTGGAACACCTGCTGACCTACCTGGAGAACACAGTTTTGCCTCCCTTGGCCAAGGTAACACCAGGGGCTGGGCAAGGAGAAAGGGCCCCCACAGCTCCTTAAAGGAGGCTGAGGTGTGACATGGGCTTTTGGGAGAAGAGTTTTTTGAGATTTTTCTGTTTGTAAGCTTAAGTTCTGTGTGCAGTTCTCAGAGAGTCAGGAGGTTCCCACCATGTAGCCTGAGTGAAGTCGTCTGTCCCATCCAGGCCTGCCACCACCCCTCATCCCCAGAGCTTGAATGAGAGAGAACTTGGAGGGCACACAGGTGTAACAGCCTTCCCAGGGGACATAACTGGAGATGAGAGGAAACTTTCTTGGCCCTACAGCCTCTGAGATCTAGGCACCAAAGTAGGGTGGAGTCTCCTTCCACACCATGTTTGTGAATGTATCATCAGCACAGCTTAGTCTGCTATATGCTGCTATAAGAAAATACCACAGACTGGGTAATTTATAATTAGCAGAAATGTATTTGGCTCATGGTTCTGGAGACTGGGAGGTCTAGGATCGGGGGTGGCATCTGGTGAGGGCCTTGTTGCTGTGTCACCACATGGCACATGGTGACAGAGGGCAGGAGAGACAGAAAGCAAGACGGAACTGAACTTGCTTTTACAACAACCACCCTGGAATGAATAACAAATTCATTCTTTCAATAATGATATTAATCCATTCATGAAGGCAGAGTCCTCATGACCTAATCACCTCTCGAAGGTCCCACCTCTCAACACTATTGCACTGGGGATTGAGTTCCCAACACGTGAACTTTAGGGGACACATTCAAACCAGAGCAGCACACCAAGACAACCTGATGGGGAGTAAGTAAAACAAACCATGGCCTGCTGCAGGAGTGTGCATGCGTGTGTGTGTGTGTGTGTGTGTGCTTTTGTGGCTGAGAGACAGGCAGACAGACAGCCGGGGGTGCAGAGGGAGTGGGAGACCCAGTCCTCCATTCTAGCTGAGTCACAGCCACACATCTAGCACCTGGGCACCGAGATAAGGAGATTTAGAAAATATGATTAAGTATTGAGTTTCTTTGACCACAAAGTTTGAGGATAGCCTTCTGGGCCACGCAGACTCCAAAAGAAAGGGGTCAGCACTCCAAAGTGGAGAATTTAAAGTTTCACTTATAGAGGCAGAAACAGAGAAGTTTCTCAGTGTTGCAGCATTTTCCATACAAGGCCCGTAATTGCATTGTAGCAATTCAATAGGTTACAGCTTACTAATTCGGGGAAGATTGCTTTAACACTCCATGAGTAGGAGTAATGATCTTTAGAGAGGTCTCATCTCTGGCGCCACTCGGTCTTTCCGAATCGTCTACAGGGAAAAGCAGAAACTGAAGCTGCATGCTACTTGACTCAGGCCACATAGCCACATCGCTCTCAAGGTTCCCAATCATTTGAAGCTCCCGCAGCTTTAAGTTTGAATGATTTACCACAGGACACTCCTGTAACACCCTAGGTTTGCAGCTGCTCATTTTTGTTGGGGCCGGGGCTCCGGAGAAACAGATTTGGGTGAAGCTCAGGCTGAGGACATGAGACCAAGTGGGAAGCAGAGCACACAGGCCCCAAGTTAGACCCCAAGGGCTATGCCTGCACAGGCTCTGACCCCAGCCAGAGTGGAGGGAGACTCAGGCCCAGCCCACATGCCATGTGTCCAGCAAGGACCATAGCTGCCTTTATCTGTAAGGGGATGGGTTACTGTGCTCTAGGCTTTAGAGGTGGCTAGGGCTAGACTGACCATGTGCCATCATTTCATTTAATCCTGCAGTACCCCTGCAAGGTAGACATTTCTTTCCCTCATTTATAGATGAAGAAACTGAGGCCCAGGCTCTCATGAGTGAGACTCAGCCCATCACTGGCTGGAGAGCACCAGCTGAAAGCACAGGGAGGTTGGGGAGAGCGTTGCTTCCCGCGGGATGCCTCTAGAAGGGCCCTCGCCTGCACTGGAGTCAGAGTGGCCCCAACACAAGCTCCAGAGCCCCATCGGACCCCATGGCCCATATTGAACCATTCAGCCCCCAGGCTGCCCCCAGCCCCCTGCTATACACTGACCCAGGTTCCACTCGGGCCTCAGCTCTGCCTCTCATGTAGACACTGGAGATCTGTCACTCACCTCCTTTACCCCTTCCCTGCCCAACTCCTTCCCCACCCTGCTGACCCCTCGGCAGCACTTGGGACCCGCTGTCTGATAGCCTGCCTGGCCCTAACTCCAGCCCACCCAGAAACGAGTTACCCTTGCAGAGGGAAAGGGCGGCCACCATTGCCGTGGCTCTTGCTGGTAGCTCCCGGCTTTGGCCTTTTGCTCATACAAATCTCAGCCCAGGGACTAGTAAGTCAGAAGTAACAGACTCCACATGGGACCTGCACTGCCCACACACTCCCCGCGAGGGGACGCTGCTTGCAGGAATGGCCCTCTGGGCCGTCAAGGAGCTGGACCTGAGAGGCAGCCAAGCCCTCCACCTTGAGGGGGCTGGATCTAGGGTGGCCAGTGTCCTGTTAGGGGCTCTCAGGGCTTGCACCTGGAAATTCCTGGCAAACAAGGACGAGTTAGTCGCCCTGGCTGTGTCCCATCATGCTGGTTCAGGTCCCTGTCACACACGTATGTTGTCATGTGTTTTCCATACATACATGTGTATACGTGTGCATGTGTTGTGTGTGTAGGTTTGTGTGTGTGTGTGTGTGTGAGAGTTTATTTACTGGCTTACAAAGTGAGGACAATCCCTGCCTCTCCCGGGCATCCACCAGCTTCCAACCCCCACACCCCATCGCTCTGCTGTGTCCTGCCTGATGGGTGCTGGGCTTCCGTTTCTCACGGGGATTCTGCAGTTGCTCAGCCCCGTGCACTCTGGGACAAAGTCCAGCTCATATCAGACCCAGTGGCGTTTACAGGCTGAATGTCACTCCCGATCTTTCCACCGAGGGCCTCTGTGATGTGGGGGCTTTGTCAGGAAAGTGGAGCCTCACGGAAAAGCATCCCGGCTCAAACATACGGCTTATTCATTGACTGAATCTAATTATCCTCTTGGTGTTCGTCTGTGAGACCCCAGGCAGCCAGCCCTGTCGATCTGTCTCAATAGGCTTCGTCCAAATAGAAAATTAGATGATCGTGCGTAATATCCTCAGCTTGATGGGTGAGGGAGGGATCGATGCCACCCAGGGGCACCGTGGGCTGTGAGCAACTTCCTGGTGGAGGCGCCTGCCCTCCCTCCCTCCCAGTCCTCCAGTGTCAGTGGAGGTGACGGCTCCCAAAGGAAGGGACGAAGGGCGGCACTAAAATTCCCCAGGTGGCATCTCTGGGCGGCCATCACCTCACATTTCAAAGTCGACTTCATGGGGCCAGGGGAAAGCCCTCGGAACGTGGGATGGCTGAGTGAACGGACAGGTGCACTGGCAGACAAGTGAATGGGCGCCGTCTTCCTGGCCATGTTGCTAACTTGTGTGACTTCATCACTGGGAAGAGTCGGGAGACACAGGGAGCCACTCCGCTCCCAGTGCCGGCCCCTGACGGTGGGAAGGTGGCCATGAACAAAGTCAACAAAAACGCGGGCCTCATGGGGTTTGCATTCCATTCAGGGGAGGCAGGAAACACGCAACTGCAGGAACATCAAGTTTCCCCCAGAAGGGCAGGGCCTGCGTCTGCTGAAGGGAACTCAGCACAGACAGGTCACAGGGAAAAGGCCAACGACATGTTACCGTGCACATGAACACGGGGGTCCCGTGAACGTGGGACTGGAAGCAGGGACAGATGACTGAGGTTTACACCCAAGGCGACAGGACGGATGGGGCTTGGGGCTTCCTGAGGGGTTGCAGTGGTGACAAGGTCATGGGAGGGGGAGGGGAGGAAGGGCTTCTGGTTATGGAGGTAAAAATCTCTCAGGTAACCAGGAGCTGCCCTCAAAGAATCGGCAGCAGCCCGTGCTGGCGGCATCTCCATCTGACGTGTCAGTGTCAGGCATCAGTGTCATCTTAAGATCGCTGGAGGGGGTCTCAGAGAAAGCCCGTCTGTCTGGTGTTCAGCTCACCCCTATAGCTTTCCTCCACAGACAAAATCCACCTCCCACCCCACACACACACACACAAAGACAGGTTTTCTGAGCGATCCCATCTGCAACTTCTCTGAATAAACAGCTGGAAATACGTCCCAGAAGTCTATTCTGGGGTGGTGTATTTTGGTTTCCTTCACCAACCAACAAGTGGAACACAGGTCAGGAGGTGGAGGAAGGTAGAGAAAAATAAGTCAAGGCAGAAAGTCTTTGGGGTGAGGGTGGCATTTCAACCAGGACAGTCAGGGCGCCCCACTGAGCGTGAGATTTGCCCAAAGAGCTGGCAGAGGTGCCGCTGTGTGGCTATCTAAGATCAAGTGTTGCAGCCCCTCCTAAGGTCCCAAGGAGGGAGCCACTGCAGGAGAGAGCCTGGCCGAGACGGGCAAGGCAGGGGCAGGCGGGGGAGCAGAGGCTGGAGCTGGACGTAGTGGCAGAGTCAGACAGAATGGAGCCTCCCAGGCCATGGTCCAGGCTCTGCTTTTTACTGTGGAAGGGATGGGGAGGCTTGAGCAGAAGACAGCTGGCTGAGGGCACAGGGGTTGCTCTGGCCGTCCTCCTGAGAACAGGTTGTGGAGGTGGGAGTGAGACAGCAGGGCCGGCAGGGAGAAGGCGGTGGTCGAACCAGATCGCAGCAAAGGTGGTGCGAGGCAGACCGATCCTGGGGGCCTCGTGAAGGCAAAGCCAACAGGAATGGATATTTGGGACGAGAGAAAAAGAGGAGTCAGGATGTCTGCAAGGTTCTTGGCCTAAGCAAGCTTTAAAGAGTGGAGCTGCCTCAGCCAAAATGAGCGACGCTTTAAATCTCATCACCTACCTTAGCACAGTGTTAGCTGTAAGAGGCAATTGGGATAATTTTGTGTTTTTATCACATAACTCTGTTACCTTCTGAGACCTGGCGCCTAAAACTCTTCAGGAAAGGCCAGCGTCCACAACAGACAAAGCCTGCCCTTAACCTCCCTGCCTCCTGCCCACAGACAAGGTGGCCAGTGGAACTAGACCTTCTAAGGACTTTATATAGATTATTGAACTGAGTTGGTATGAGAACTTGCAGGTTAGATACTGCTGTCACTACCATTTTAACGCTGAGGGAACTGTGATGCAGAGGGGTTGAGTGACCTGCCGAAGGGCACACGGTCTGACGGGAAGCCACAAGGGAACTCGCAGTCCAGTGGCTGGTTTTATGTGATCAGGAGCCGTGTGCCACAGAGGAGTGTCCCACAGCAGTTGCTAAATGAATCCTTGGCCAGAGCGTGGGAAGAGTCCAGCCCCTGGAGATGGACCCGACCAAGGCTGTCTGTGTATTTCCCTGAGAGAGAGTGGGCAGAGATCTGTGAGTCCACACCCCTCTCTCCCCATCCCTAGAGTGAGGACATCAGCCTGGAATAAACAAGAGGCACCCTTAAATGGAAGGGATGAGAAGGGAAAAAAACAGTGGGTCTTAGATAGCCAGGAGTGGTGGCCAGCTTTCCCTGGGAGCCCCCAGCCCTGCAGAGCCTGCTTCTGGGGTCTGGGACTGGGCCCCAATGGGGCACGTTGGACAAGCCGGCATGGAGAAGGGAGGCAGCTGAGCTCAGCAGAAACCCTAGGTGTGCTGGGCCCAGGCCCATCTCCCAGAGCCAGCCCTGGAGCTCCACGGCTCCAGATGACTAGCCGAATCCAAGCCCACTGGCCTGTTCTGTCAGGGTCTAGGTGCTGGAGTGCACACGGAGGCTGATGTAGAGGAGGAGACCCTGAGGAAGAAGCTGGAGGAGCTGACCAGCAATGTCAGTGACCAGGGGACCTCGTCCGAGGAGGAGGAGGCCAAGGATGAAAAGGCAGAGCCTGACAGGGGCAAATCAGTTGGGGCTGTCCCCCAGGCGGACCCAGAGGTGAGACTACCCCCCAGGGGTCTCAGCAGGACCCTGCAGAGGTAGGGGCAGGGATGGACAGTCCCAGCTGGCCACTGCCCTCCCCAGGGAGGTAGCCACCCACAGGGGCACACCAAGGGCCCTTGATGGGTTCTGCAGCTGTGAAACCAGCTCCCAGGATTCAGAGAGGAGAGCAACGTCATGGCGAATCCCCATCTGGGTGAGACCCCGCACTCCCTCCTGCTGCCGGTCAGCCTCCGTCCTTCTCTTTCATAGGTGAGCATGGCTGCCCATCAAACCAACAGACAGGAAAAGAGCTCCCAGGGCCCTGGGGACCCCGTCCAGCACAGCAGGACCACAGATGAGGAGCTGTCGGAGCTGGAGGACAGAGTGGCAGTGACGGCCTCAGAAGTCCAGCAGGCAGAGAGCGAGGTAGTCTGGAAGGCACAGGGGAGCACTGGGTTCCGCAAACACAGATGGTGACCACACCCGAGCATTGAACATCTGACAGCTCTAACCATCTGACAGCTCACACCGAGCCCTCCCCATTGGCCCAGCATGCACAGCTCTGAAGGCCAAGCATGAACCTGGGGGTTTCTGTGGGACTCACCTGGCTCACCACCCATTCACTGAGCCCTCCACCCCTTCCCTTTTTCCTGTTCAACTTGGTGAGGTACAGGCAGGGTTTCCACCAAGAAAAAGGTGATGAACACACAATCCCTGACCCAGGATGGGGGCCTAGAAGCAGGCCTAGAATTTAGGACAGCCCCAGACCTCAGCACTGGACTCTATCCCGAGGGCCATCTGTGAGTCTGAGTTGTGGCTGCAGAGCTTGAATCTGGGTCTGGAACCTATCAATAGTGCACAAAAGTCAAAGGGCAGAGCCAAAGCATTCAGGCCTCCCAGGGACAGCCGAGGAGACTTGGGCACTGCTCTGTCCTCCCTGGAGACCTACAGAGAGGAGAAGTTCTGCCCCTCAGACTGTGGGGACAGCCAGCCCCCACGACCCGCCTCCACTTCCCTTCTCATCAGCAGGTGTCTGTCACTCCCTGAGGACAAAGAGCATGTCCCCTAGAGCTGTTCAAGGGGAGCAAGTCAGGCTCTGGACTTTCCCTTCATGTTTTCCTTCTTGCTTTGCAAATAAATGTAGCCCACATTGTGTAGGTCACGGAAGATCCAGCTGCGAATGTCTTAGACCAAGCCCCTGCCTTCCTGGAGCTTGTGTTTTTAGTGGAAGGAGATAAACAGCAAACAAACAAACAAGATCCTTTGGGTTCATGAAAGGTGTGATTAAGACAGTCAGTGAAGATGAGCCCCTAGAGTGCTCGGGGCGGGGCGATTTAGATAAGGTGGTCAGGAGGGATACTAGGAAAATAAGCCAACCTGGCAAATCCAGGGGACAGGAGTCCGGGTGGAGGCAGCAGCGTGTGCCAAAGCCCTGGGGTGGTGGTGAGCTTGGTGCGTGCAGGGATTACCCGTGAAACCCTGAGACCGGGTCAGAGTGATGAAGGGAGAGTGTGAGGAGGGTGGACGGCAAAGGCCCCTGGGGGCCACTGGAAGGATCTGAATAGGGGGTGATGGGACCTGGTTCTAATTTCCAGAAGCTGCCCCTGGCTGCTGTGGGAGGAGGGGCCTAGGGAGGGAGGAGTGGAAGGGGGGCTGGGCAAGGATGATGCCAGTGGGGGTGGCCGACTGCTAGGTGAAGAGCAGCCACTACTGTCCTTGCCAGTCACGGCCCCTCCTCCAGTCCCTCATGGGAGCCAGACTCCCTGAGACTCCAGAATACGCCCCCCATCCTGCCTTCCTCCTGCCTGGGTGACTCACAAGGAACACCCCCTTCTCACCAACCACGGAAGACAAACGCCAAGGGGACCACCAAGACGGGCATGCGGCTGGGACGCCAATCTTAAGGGAAAACACAAGTAAAATTGGCTCCAGGAGTGAGCTGGGGGCAGCTGCTCTTCCTGTCCATGACTTTGAGGCGGGACCTCGAGCGTCTGTCTGAGGGGCCGTCTGTCTGTCTGCTGTCGTCTCGCAGGTTTCAGACATCGAATCCAGGATTGCAGCCCTGAGGGCCGCGGGGCTCACGGTGAAGCCTTCGGGAAAGCCTCGAAGGAAGTCAAACCTCCCGGTGAGTGGGGCACAGTGGTGAGTGGGGGGACGGTGGTAAGTGGGGGGATGGTGGTAAGTGGGGGGGGACAGTGGTGAGTGGGGCACAGTGGTGAGTGGGGGGACGGTGGTAAGTGGGGGGACAGTGGTGAATGCAGGGACAGTGGTGAGTGGGGCACAGTGGTGAGTAGGGGCACAGTGGTGAGTGGGCGGACAGTGGTAAGGGGGGGACAGTGGTGAGTGGGGAGGGACAGTGGTGAGTAGGGGGACGGTGGTAAGTCGGGGGGGACAGTGGTGAGTGGGGAGGGACAGTGGTGAGTGGGGAAGGACAGTGGTGAGTAGGGGCACAGTGGTGAGTGGGGGGATGGTGGTAAGTGGGGGGGGACAGTGGTGAGTGGGGGGGACAGTGGTGAGTGGGGAGGGACAGTGGTGAGTGGGGCACAGTGGTGAGTGGGGAGGGACAGTGGTGAGTGGGGCACAGTGGTGAGTGGGGCACAGTGGTGAGTGGGGCACAGTGGTGAGTGGGGAGGGACAGTAGTGAGTGGGGGACAGTGGTGAGTGGGGGGACAGCGGTGAGTGGGGGGGACAGTGGTGAGTGGGGAGGGACAGTGGTGAGTGGGGGAACAGTGGTGAGTGGGGCGGCAGTGGTGAGTGGGGGGCAGTGGTGAGTGGGGCAGCAGTGGTGAGTGGGGGGGCAGTGGTGAGTGGGGGGCAGTGGTGAGTGGGGGACATGGTGAGTAGGGGAACAGTGGTGAGTGGGGGACAGTGGTGAGTGGGGAGGGACAGTGGTGAGTGGGGAAGGACAGTGGTGAGTAGGGGACAGTGGTGAGTGGGGGGACGTGGTAAGTGGGGGGGGACAGTGGTGAGTGGGGAGGACAGTGGTGAGTGGGGAAGGACAGTGGTGAGTAGGGGCACAGTGGTGAGTGGGGGACGGTGGTAAGTGGGGGGGGACAGTGGTGAGTGGGAGGGACAGTGGTGAGTGGGGCACAGTGGTGAGTGGGGGGACAGTGGTGAGTGGGGCACAGTGGTGAGTGGGGGGCAGTGGTGAGTGGGGGACAGTGGTGAGTGGGGGACAGTGGTGAGTGGGGGGACAGGGTGAGTGGGGAGGGACAGTGGTGAGTGGGGGAACAGTGGTGAGTGGGGCGGCAGTGGGATGGAGGGGCAGTGGTGAGTGGGGGCAGCAGTGGTGAGTGGGGGCAGTGGTGAGTGGGGGGGCAGTGGTGAGTGGGGGAACAATGGTGAGTAGGGGAACAGTGGTGAGTGGGGGAACAGTGGTGAGTGGGGGGAGCAGTGGTGAGTAGGGGGGCAGTGATGGTGGGGGAACAGTGGTGAGTGGGGGGGGCAGTGGTGAGTGGGGCACAGTGGTTAGTGGGGGCAGCAGTGGTGAGTGGGGGGGCAGTGGTGAGTGGGGAAACAGTGGTGAGTGGGGGGACAGTGGTGAGTGGGGGAGTGGTGAGTGGGGGGAGAGTGGTGAGTGGGGCACAGTGGTGAGTGGGGGGAGAGTGGTGAGTGGGGGGAGAGTGGTGAGTGGGGGGGACAATGGTGAGTGGGGGGCACAGTGGTGAGTGGGGGGACAGTGGTGAGTGGGGGGACAGTGGTGAGTGGGGCACAGTGGTGAGTGGGGAGAGAGTGGTGAGTGGGGACAGTGGTGAGTGGGGGGACAATAGTGAGTGGGGCACAGTGGTATGTGGGGGGGACAGTGGTAACTGGGGGTATAGCAGGACAAGCCACAGACAAAACCCCTCAGACACCGAGTTAAAGAAGGAAAGGCTTTATTCGGCTTGGAGCTTTGGCAGGACTCATGAATCCAACAACTGAGCTCCCCGAGTGAGCAATTCCTGTCCCTTTTAAGGGCTTACAACTCTAAGAGGTTCCGTATGAGAGGGTCATGATCGATCGAGCAAGCAGGGGGTACATGACTGGGGGCTGCCTGCACCGGTAATCAGATCAGAACAGAACAGGACAGGGATTTTCACAACGCTTTTCCATACAATGTCTGGAATCTATAGATAACATAACGGGTTAGGTCAGGTGTCTATCTTTAACCAGGCTCAGGGCACAGCACTGGGCTGTGGATTTCATTTCTGCCTTTTAGTTTTTACTTCTTTCTTTGGAGGCAGAAATTGGGCATAAGACAATATGAGGGGTGGTCTCCTCCCTTAGGGGGACAGTGGTGAGTGGGGGGACAGTGGTGAGTGGGGGGACAGTGGTGAGTGGGGACAGTGGTGAGTGGGGGGACAGTGGTGAGTGGGGACAGTGGTGAGTGGGGACAGTGGTGAGTGGGGGCACAGTGGTGAGTGGGGGCAGTGGTGAGTCGGGGCATAGTGGTGAGTGAGGGGGACACAGCAACCTCAGTTGAGTTGGTGCCCCCCGAGGCCTCCCCACAGCACACCTGCCACCGGGGTCTGACAGCAGGATCCTGGCCCCCTCACCTCCCTTCCCGTGAACATTCGGCCCGAGTTTCCTCATAGCCAGTTACTCAACTGTACCTTTGTTGGGGTTCATTTTTGTTTATTATTTGTTGTTTCTACCAAAAGCTCTTTATGAGGGGACTCTGAGCCCTGCTCTGAGGATCTGAAAGGCACACACACTCACAGTGTGAAATCCAAAAGGAGCCACCTGAATCACATTGCCTCTTATTGAAAGCCTTAGTCCGCTGCAACGTGAAGATGGATGTGACTAGAAGGGATGGCGCAGGAGACTCACATCAGAGGAGCTGCTCATGTCAGACCAACATCCTCCTCTCCTGACCCCATCAGGAATCTTCAGACAAAACCATCCTGATGAGGACATTTGGCAAAAGAATAGAAGATGTCCTTAGGAGAGTCCCAGACAGGGTCATGACGGAAAATACAGGATGCCCAGTTAGCTTTAAATTTCAGATCAACAATAATCTAGTAAAAGTATGCCCCCATGCAACATTTGGGACTTACACTAAAAAAATTAGCTGTTGATCTTGTGAACGCAAAATATCTGAGACAGGTCTCAGTCAATTGAGAAAGTTTATTTTGCCAAAGTTAAGGACACACCCATGACACAGCCTCAGAAAGTCCTAAGACTTGTGCCAAGGTGGTTGGGGGAACAGTTTGCTTTTATACATCTTAGGGGGACATGAGACATCATCAGTATGTGTAAGATGTACCTCGGTTCGATCCAGTAAGGTGGGACAACTTGTAAGTGGGGGCTTCCCGGTTATAAGTAGATAAGAGGCAAAAGGTTACATTATTTTGAGTTCTTGATCAGCCTTCCACTGAATACACAATTTAGTCTGGCTCAGTGAGTCTGTGTTTTTACTTAAGCAACAGGGGAGAGGAAGCAATCCGATCTGCAGGTGATCTTCAGAGGGATGACTTGGAATAGAATGGGAGGCAGGTTTGCCCTAAGCAGTTCCCAGCTTGACTTTTCCCTTTAGCTTAGTGTTTTTGGAGTCCCAAGATTTATTTTCTTTTCACAATCTGAAATTCCAAGCTCCCTGGGTATGCTGCTTTTTAATTTGCACAGTCTGGCAGCCCTAGTCCCAGAGCCCTGGAATGGCATACTGGAGGTGGCCGTGCAGTCCCAGCGTCCCCGACCAAGCGTGCATAGAGAGCATCCATCCTTACATCCAGCTGACACATGCCCATGCTCCTCCCTGTGGACAGAGGTTAAACAATAACATAAAGTTTCTTCTTTGTCCTCTAGATATTTCTCCCTCGAGTGGCTGGGAAACTTGGCAAGAGACCAGAGGACCCAAATGCAGACCCTTCAAGTGAGGCCAAGGTATGTGTTACTCCATCCAAGCCCAGACACCGCACGAAGGCGGAAGACTGCACCCCTTTCCAGCAGTGTGGCAAGTCCACAGGGTGGCGGAGCTCCTGTGTCTGCAAAGCCGCCCACACAGCTGCAGTGCCCACACAGCTGCCACAACACCGTGGCAACTCCCATGGGTTGGCTTCCTCGGTGGCACACACTGAGCTGGGTTTGTGTAGATGCATTTGTTGAAAATCCAAGAAAGCCCAGAAGGGGAGTGGGAAAGTGAGACGGGAAAGGAAGGAAGCAAGCATCCAACATGAAGCAAACCCACACAGGCTGACTGTGGCTCAGTCCTCCTGGGGGCTCTGGAGACCATGCAGTTCACACCCCAGAGTTAATTCCGTGTAGGAGCAAGGCCACCAGCACTTATCCTTCCACACCCGTCAGTCCTGAGTAAGGGCCAGGCCCTGGGCCACACACATTCCCAGGCACTTCTGCCCTTCCCTGAACAGGCACAACGGGCCAGTGGCCTGGGGACTGCCTCCATCTGGGAGACCGAGGCGCTGGCTGCCGAAGGTGGAAACACCCAGGAGCCAGTGCGCTCAAAATGGCACAAGGACTTGCGGAGGTGTGAGCGGGACCCACAGATGGCAATGCACAGAGGGCGGAGCCAGCCTGGGAGGGAGGAGCTCCCTGCGTTCAGGTGGAGTGGTTAGGAGTAGGATGAGGGGTGCCATGGCCAGCACCCCAGGAGGAATGGGCTTCAGCTTCAGGCCCTCCCTGCAGCCCAGCGCCGCAGGGAGCCTCGAGGAACACCTAGCCACTCCTCATCACAACCCTGGCAGTTCCTCACAGTGACATGCAGTGTTTTCAAAAGTCCATCTTTCCACATGATGTTTACAGCACCCAGCGGCTAGGCAGTGCTATTAACCCTGTTGTACTGATGAACCAACCAGCCAGCTCAGGGCAGTGGGTGAGCCTGATCCAGATCACAGACAGGAAGTGACAGCAGGGTCTCAGCCCAGGCCATGCCTGACACCCACACTCTTCTCTGGGGGGGGGCCACTTCCACCTTTGTCCCCAGAAGCGCAGCCTGCCAGCTTCTGCAGCACCTCTGGGAGCCACCCACAAACCCAGCCAGGCAAAATCCCAGGGTGCCAGACACCAGGAGAAATTTCTAGGGGAATTAGGCCATTTGGCTGTCTCTTCACTTCCCTGAAAAGCCAAACAGAGAATGGATTTCTTATCGCATCGTAGCAAGGTAATCAATTGGAAAAGAGACAGGAGGAGAGGTGTGAGGACCAACAGTCACAGGGACCCGGGAATCGTATTAGACACAATTGATCTTCCAGTGTCCTTGTAAAGAGAGCTACAGGCCCACTTTACAGAGGAGGAGACCAAGGTTCAGAGAGGGTAAGAAGTGAATTAGCCGGGTGCAGTGGCTCACACCTGTAATCCCAGCACTTTGGAAGGCCGAGGCGGGCGGATCACGAGGTCAGGAGATGGAGACCAGCCTGGCTAACATGGTGAAACCCCATTTCTACTAAAAATACAAAAACAAAATTAACCGGGTGTGGTGGCAGGCTCCTGTAGTCCCAGCTACTCAGGAGGCTGAGACAAGAGAATGGCATGAACCGAGGAGGCGGAGCTTGCAGTGAGCCAAGATCGCACCACTGCACTCCAGCCTGGGTGACAGAGCGAGACTCCGTCTCAAAAAAAAAAGAAGTGAATGAATTGCCCATGTCACACAGTGGTAAGGGGGTAGTGCTGGGATCTGAACCAGACCTGCAGGACAGAAACTTATACACCTTCTGCCATACCACCCGAATGTGGCAGCTCCCCCAAAGCTGAGCATTTCTTATTTCAGGCATTTAGTGCTTAATTTATTGAAAATGTCCATTCTTATGTTGCTAAAAGTTCAAATATTGCTAGAAAGCAGAAGACAGTGAGCCTGGTTAATTAGAAGCTGGAAGAGCAATAAGAAATCAAAACTTAGTCCACAATTCCTAAACATCACAATTGGATGAAGCCTGGAGACACTGTTTCTTCTAGGCAATGGCTGCGCCCTATCTTCTGAGAAGAAAGTTCAGTAATTCCCTGAAAAATCAAGGTAAGAGCCCTCTGCTCCCCGCACCCCCATGAGCCTGGGAAATGAGCTCCAGGGAGGAAAATGACCAGTCGCAGCTCTGTGTGTTTCTTCATAATCTGTGGGACATATCTCGTGTCCTGACTCCCAAAAATCGTTCCCAGTGCCACTCGGGTCACCCTCAGGACCCAGCACGTTGGTGTTCCAGACAGCTGGAACTTGCTGCTTTAAGCGTGCAAAGGTGGCCCTGGTGGCAGTGGTGATGGTGGTGGTGTTTCCATGTTTTTCTACATAAATTGTCCTAACATGGTACACAGTTTCTGGCCTTCTTACAGAAAGTACGGGTCATCATTTAGCCTTCCTTGAAGGCTTGGTGGTGAGAGGGACATTAGCTTTGTCCTGGACTAATGGGATGTGAGGCCTCCCCAGCATGTGGTCGGGCTCTTGGGGTATCTGTGTGCTCATTTCATTCACTCAACCTGTGACCCAACCACTGCTTGCCGGAGGCTGGCAGCTCCTCTCCCCATTCAGAGCCCCGTCCTTCTGCTGTTGAGCTGTTTCAGGCCCCGCCCCTCTGCTATCCAGCTGTTTCAGGCCCCCAAGCATTGTTGCATTGATCTGTTGTCCCTGTTTTCTGAGCTTTGTCCTCACACACACCATCATTCAAACTCTGCCACAGCTGCAGTCCTAGCAGACAGTGTGTGTCCCTCCTCTGCTCACAAGCAATCCTTGGCTCTCAACTGCCTGCAGAATGAAGTGGGATTTCTTAGCATAGCCCTGCAGACTTTGGCCATTTGTCGCACACTGGAGTCAGCCGGCCCCCTACTACACCCACCTAAGGATGCACCTCCTTCCCATGCATGGAACAACACAAGCAGACGCTGGTTTCAGAGTGCGCCACACAAGCACATGCCTCCACGCCTGGGTGTGCCCCCTCCCTGCCCATCTCTGTCCTATGAAGTCCTCTGGAGCCAAGTATGAAGCCTCTCCCCTGGGGCTCTCCACCACCTCCCTGCAACACCCAGCACATTGATCCCTCTTTCCAGTCAGCTCGCTCCTTGGTCAGTCAGCCACCCACCTCCATGCCAGATCGCTCTTTGCACCCCCTGAGCTCCCAGCACACATTCTGGTCAATCCTAGGACAGAGCTGGTGCCCAAGAACCTTTGGGGCTAATCCCAGATTCAGGATCACCAGCCAGGAGAGCGACTTTGCCAGAGATGACCTGCTAAGGAGCTGCCAGCAGGGGCTCCTGGAGATCCATGTGCTGGCTCTGAGGGGAGTTTCCAGCACGTCTCGTGGGCTGAAATCCAGGTGGAGATTCTTGTTTTGTTTTGTTTTGTTGAGACAGAGTCTCACTCTGTGGCCTAGGCTGGAGTGCAATGGTGTGATCTCAGCTCACTGCAACCTCCGCCTCCCGGGTTCAAATGATTCTTCTGCCTCCGCCTCCTGAGTAGCTGGGATTACAAGTGCCCACGACCATGCCTGGCTAATTTTGTATTTTTAGTACAGACAGGGTTTCACCATGTTGGCCAGGCTGGTCTCGAACTCCTGACGTCAGGTGATCCACCCACCTTGGCCTCCCAAAGTGCTGGGATTACAGGCGGGAGCCACCATGCCCAGCCGAGAGGTTCATGTTTGTAGCAGGAGGACAAAGGGCGATTCCTTGCATCCTCTGTATGAATGGTTTCGTGAAGGGTAGACTCTGTCCTATCCAGAGACCTTACTCATGTCCAGTCCAAGGCCAGAATAGCTCACCCCCGGCCCCCTGATAGCCCACAGGCATTTTGGGGTCTGAACGGCAAAGTTGAGGCCTGACCTTCACGTTTCTCCCAGCCATCATCACCACCCTCCGCCAAGGGTGGCCAAGGGGGCTTTTCACTGTCTACAGAGGCCAGCCCTACACACTGGCAGGTCCTTGGGCCTCCATCCCAGGGTCTGTGGGGCCTCATGTGACTTCACTCCTCAGGAGTCATGATCCCTCAAGTTAGGTGATTCCCTCCACAGAGGTTAGTCCTGGAGCAGGGACGGAGGGTCGGCAGGCCAGGCCAGATGACCCTGCAGAGAGAACAGCACAACAGGAGCATGCTGCTGAGCCAACTCCCAAAAGAGGAAAGGGACAAAGGCCTGGCTTGTAGCATGTGCCAGTTTCTGTGGCATAAATTCTCCCGCCCTGGCTGATCGCAAGTTCCCAGCTGATGTCACCGAGTGTGGGGTCAGGAAGAGGCGCACACAGTCAGCTCTCAGGAGCCCTGGCAACTGGCTCCAGTCAGGCAGGCCACAGAAGACATGCAAAAGTGAAGAAGGGCCTGCACCAGCCACCTGAACACAAACACTCAACCAGGATGTGAGGCCAGATGCCCCCAGTTACACAGCCACGGCCCCAGGAGGGGCCCCGGTGATGAGGGTCAGAGTCTGAGACCCCTTGGGCTGTTGCCATGTCACAAAGGAAAGGCAAGGAATCTGGGTATGGTGGCTCACACCTATAATCCCAGCATCTCAGGAGGCCAAGGCAAGCGGATCACTTGAGGTCAGGAATTCGAGACCAGCCTGGCCAACATGGTGAAACCGCGTCTCTACCAAAAAATACAAAAATTAGCCAGGCATGGTGGTGCACACCTGTAGTCCCAGCTACTTGGGAGGCTGAGGCAGGAGAATCACTTGAACCCCAGAGGCGGAGGTTGCAGTGAGCTAAGATTGCGCCACTGCACTCCAGCCTGGGTGACAGAGCAAGACGTTGTCTCAAAGAAAAAGAAAAGGAAAAAGAAAAGACAGAGACCGCATACCAGTGCAGTGCAACGGGCCTTTCTGCTGTTTCATTAGTGTGAGGATTCCTGGGGCCACAGTGAGGTGGAACGTTAATGCCTGCTCCAAAACAAAGGAGAAAGAAGTTGGCAAAACTGTTTATTTGCATGAAACCTGAAATGTAAATGTCTTGTTAAAAATATGTGATGTAGAAACTTCTTAAAAGGGGATATGTCCATTTTTATTCTACCTTTTAAATGTCTGAGGAGGCCTAGGCACTTGTTTGGGCTAGGTATGTGATTGATAAAGCACCATCCCTCTCCCTGTTTTCCCCAAAGGCAAAGATGATGATTCTTTTGATCGGAAATCAGTGTACCGAGGCTCGCTGACACAGAGAAACCCCAACGGGAGGAAAGGAATGGCCAGCCACACCTTCGCGGTAAAGTTTTCTCTCATTCTCTGAGGAGTTTTTAAAATTCAGTGACCCATCAGATTTATGTGTTAATATTAAGTCTTCAGAGCAAAGAAAATGGAGATAAACAAAACAAGGATTCAGACCAGAGAATCAAAGCAAAAAGTAAAGTCTTTGCCAACGAGGGCTTGAACATCTAAATACTCTGAAATTAGAATAATATCTTCTTGTGTTTTAGAGCTTTAAATTTTCAAATACTTGCTGTCCACACACCCCATTGGATGAGGACCTGTGTCATTGACCCAAATTTATAGCTGAGAAAACAGAGGCAGAGAGAGGCTAAGTAAAACACCCCAAGGGAGTTCACCTAATATTGTGAAGAACGCAAACCCAGCGTTTGACCAACTTGTCCATGCATGTATGTGTGTGGCTGCGTTCACTCCTGTGTGCATTTGTGTGTACTGTGTGCATGCCTGTGTGTTTGTGCACACCCATGTGTAGGTACCTGCTTACACACCCAAGTGTGTGTGTTACCACAACGAAAGCACAGATTTATTGAAAAGGAAGTTCACTCCACAGAGTGGGAACAGGCTAGAGCCAGTGGCTCAGGAGCCTGGTTACAGAATTTTCTGGACTTTAAGTGCCCTCCAGAGGTTTCCCATTGGTTACTTGGTTATACCCTATGCAAATGAAGGAGTGGACCCAATCAATGTGATCGGTCGCAGGAGGCAACCAATCGGAGGCTGAAGGGAAGTTACAAATTTACACATGAAGACTTGGCCAATGACTTGTCTGATTGGTTGGGGGAGGGGACCAATCCGAGGTACTTTCCATTTTCATCTGAGATGCAGAGGAAAGGGGGCATAGCAAAGGGAGTAGCCGCTGGACTTTTTGTTCCTCGGGCATGGAGAGGTGGGGTTTTCATTTTGATTCAGTTCTAGGAAGTTAGCACGAATTGGCCTTAGGTTCCCTACCTCCAGACCCTATTCTCTTGCCCCACGTGCGCGTGTGCACAAACATAGAATCTACGTTTGTGTCTACTGATGTGCACATCCATGTACACACCTGTGTATTTGTATGTGCACGCCCATGTGTGTCTGTGTTATATGCCTGTGTGTGTTTGTACTTTACAGAAACCTGTGGTGGCCCATCAGCCCTAACAGGGGACAGGACAGAGCAACAGAGCAGCCCTGCACTCTTTTCCCTCCACCACGGCCATCCTGTCCCTCATTGGCTCTGCGCTTACCACTGTACACAGTCACCATCCCAGTGAGAAACAAGGAGCACCCTCTACGTGGACTTCCCCTGCAAGAGGACAGCGACATTCAGTCCTGCACTGCTCATTTGGGTTTACTGATGACTCCTGGCCACCCCACCAGCCCCTCTGATCTGTGAGAAACAGCTAAGCCGCTGTGACTTCCCTTTAGGACAATGTTGTGTTAACCTTTGAAGGACACACAGAAGACCTTTATACTGTGATCTTTTACCCCTTTCACTCTTGGCTTTCTTATATTGCTTTCATGAATGAAATGGAAAAAAAGATGACTCAGTTAAGGCACCAACCATATGTGTATTCTTGATGGTCTATATCGGGGTGTGAGCAGATGTATGCTTATTTCTTGTGGGTGTGATTGGAAATTAGGCATCCAGACAAGTGACTGAACTAATGACCTGCTGAATAATGAGGGAGGAATAGACACCCCAGTCCCCACCCTACGGGCACCCACTCTGCAAGTTCCCATGTGATCTGTAGACCAGGGGAAATTACACTGTGGTCAAGGGCAGAGCCTGCACATGGCAGCAAGTGAGCATCTGATACATGCTCAGATGCAAGTGCAGAAAGCCTGCTGGGAGAGGGAGAGACAGCAGGCAGAGATCCAGATGGGCAGGGAAGAGGTCTGGTTCTGGCCTGGCTCTGCCACTCACTGCAACAGATCCAGTGGGGCAGAGGACAGAGGGTCACAACCAATGAGGAATGCCTGCCAAGGATGGGGGTGCAGAGGACAGAGGGTCACAACCAATGAGGAATGCCTGCCAAGGATGGGGGTGCAGAGGCCACAGGTCAGCTTGCCACTTGCCTCTTGGTTACATAGATGATCTCCCCTCAGACAGCCTGGGACTCAGAGTTATTTCCTAATATCTGTGTGCCCCATCCAGTTTTAAGCAGAGCCCTCCAAGACTCTCCAAAGCTGCCTTTGAACATCCTAACAGTAATCACATCTCACCCTCCCTGAGGTTCACCCTAGACAGGACCCAATGGCCACACTGTTTTTGTCAGAGGGGATGCTGAGAGGAGTGGCTTCCTACGGAATCAAACAGTAGAGACAACAGGCAAGCCTTTTGTCTTCAAGGGTTGACCAAGTTAAGTGTTTCCTACCCTCTCTGAATAGGACACTTCCAGGAGCTCTCCAATCTCTCACTTAAAACTAAGGTTTGAATCTCAAAGTGTTTTGCCGGGAGGCAGATACTCCTGCATCTTCAGGAGACCTGTGAGCACACATTAGCAGCTATTTCTCTGACTCCTTGTGGCATCAGATAAAAACATGGGAGTTTTTCCATATAATTCCCAACATTACTTATAAATTCTATTTTTTGAAAAAATTATTCAGGCTAGGCAAGGTGGCTCATACCTATTATCCCAGTCCTTGGAGGGGCCAAGGTGGGAGAATTGCTTGAGGCCAGGAGTTTAAGGCCTCCTGGGCAACATAGTGAGATCCCATCTCTACAAAAAACAAAACAAAAAATTACCCATGCATGATGGTACATGACAGTAGTCCTACCTACTTAGGAGGCTGAGGCAGGAGGATCACTTGAGCCCTGGAGGTTGAGGCTGCAGTGAGCCATGATCGCATAACTATACTCCAGTCTGGGCAGTAGAGTGAGACTCTCCTCTCTCTCTCTCTCCACACACACACACACCCCCTATTGGCTCTGCTTCTCTGAAGAGCCTTGACCGATGCACAGTCCCTATGTAAGAGCCTTGTCTGGTGTTCAGTGTGTCTGTGTTTGAAACTTGTAAACTGGTTAGATGGGAGCCATGTGTGAGGGTCGGGGAACACCGTTTATTTTTATCACAAATGCAATGCCAAGGTCCCAGAGTCATGGCCACTTGGGGTAGGAAAGCCTGTCTTCCTAAGTGAGGTTTCATGGGAGCCCAGCCACACCCATTCATCTGCCTTTTCCCCATGGCTGCTTTTCTGCTACAACAGCAGATTTGGCCAGCTGCCACCAAGATCCTATGGCCCACAAAGCTGGGCACGTTTACTATCTGGCCCATTACAGAAGAAGTTTGCCAGTCCTGTGTTCAAGATTGGATTTGGAGCATCACCTGCAGACCACAAGCAAAGGAGCTGGCAGGTGGGCGCCGTGATACAGTCCCTGACTTGGACGATCCCTTCTTTGCTGTGGGGCCACTCTGCCTCCTTCGCTTCTCCCCGCTTCTCCCCACAAGACCCTCCTCCCTGGTACTTTCTCGGGGTCATTCACTGAGTCCTTTTTCTCTGTCCACCCCCCGACACCTGTCCTCTTCTTGCCTTCTCTCAGGTGTCCCCACTTTTCCCGGGCTGTTCACAGCCACCTGTCCTCTGGCCACACCCATGTTCAGGTTTATGGCTGAGACCTCATTAAAGAGCTCTGGGGTTCTTTGGGGTCTCAAATGCAAGCAAATAAAGAAATAAAGAGTCCCAGGCCCAGCGAGCAGCCACCTGGCCACCCTCTAGGGCTTCTCAAACACCTGCCCACAACTGACCTCAGCATTTCCCTATCCCCAAAGTTCCCATCTTAGTCCCCCAGCCCTCAGTCTGGAAACCCCCAGCCCATGACCTCCCAGCTCATTCCTTTTCTGTCCCTCACCTCAGCCCAAGCCCTACCCCATATGTCTCCCAGACAGCTCTGGAATTCTTGTCTTTATCAGATCTCTTCCAGAGGACAGGAAAAAGGGGAAGCATGGCTCCTCTTTCATAAGGCTGATAAGACCTTCCTACTAAATGCAATGTGAGGAAGGAGAAGTAAAGGCAACATATTTTAACATATTTATTCCATACATTAAGTTTTCTTTTTTGTAGAGATAGGGTGTAGCTATGTTGCTCAGGCTGGTCTCAGTCTCCTGGCTTCAAGCAATTTTCCCACCTCAGCCTCCCAGAAATGTGCTTGTATTACAGGTGTGAACCACTGAGCACAACCTAAAAGATCTATTCTAAATAAAGTATTAATGAAACAAATCCCGGAATCTATTAGAAAACCTACTGTATCTTAACAAGGTAAGGTTCATCCCAAGAGAGCTAGGAATTCTTTAATGGTAGAAAAAGAAAATCTCTTCTTGTGGTCCACTGTGTTAACAGAGTAAATGAGAAAACCACTGTAACCACTTCATTCAATGAAGAAAGGCACACGAGAATTAATCAATAGCTGGCCGGGCGCAGTGGCTTATGCCTGTCATCCCAGCACCTTGGGAGGCCCAGGTGGGTAGATCATTTGAGGTCAGGAGTTGGAGACCAGCCTGGCCAACATGGTGAAACCCCGTCTCGACTAAAAATACAAAAATTAGCTAGACGTGGTGGTAGATGCCTGTAGTCCCGGCTACTTAGGAGGCTGAGACAGGAGAATTGCTTGAACCTGGGAATTGGAGGTTGCAGTGAGCCAAGATCGCGCCACTGCACTCCAGCCTGGGCGACAGAGCTAGACTCCGTCTCAAAAAAATAAAACAAAATAAAATAAATAAATAAATAAACAAGTAGCTTAGAAAACTAGGACTGGAAGGTGTGGCAGTCAGTGTCTTTGTTCTCATTATCCTCGTGGCCTCCAGGAGGGTAGCATCGCAGGCAGTTGTACTTTCCCCAGGGAGGGGGCTTTCCTGCACAGGTCCTAGTTCGTATGTGCCACAACTCAAGTGGCCACATCACGTTCTGGATGAAATACTGACCAACAGAAGCTGGACCAAGAGTGCTTGGCTCTGCCTGTCCTGAGGCCCATGACCCAGTTAAACAGGGAACGGGGAGAAGCTCCCTGATTGCTTGTCTATGGTCAAACCCCATCTGTGGGATTCATTTCTCAAAGGACACTGAAGCCATGTGCAGCCTGAGAGCCCCAGGCCAGGCCTGCAGTCCTGTGACATTATTGCAAGGGCAGCCCACACCTCACTCGCCATCACAGCATCTCCAGCCAGCCACAGTTCTCAGAACAGCCTCTCAGCAGTTCTGAGGCCTCTGATGGACACCATCGGTTTCCACATGGAGGTGGCGTAAGCAGGATTGATGCCTGTGCTACCGCCCAGCCCGCCTGCTGCCTCCCACTGGTGGACTCCCAAAGTGGCAAGATGCCAGTGCCACACTGTGACAGAGCTGCTTTACACACACACACACACACACACTCCAGTGGTGGATGCCCAGGAAGCTGCCCCCAGGTCCTGGAGTCTCAGTTTCTGTTGCTCCAGGCAGGCCTAGCCCTGGACAGAAAACCCACCTCCAAGACGGTGATTCTTAACCATCACCATCACCACTACAGGTCGAGTTCCCTTATCTGAAGTACTTTGGACCAGAACAGTTTGGGATTTTGAGGGTTTTGGGAGGAGGATTTTGAAATATTTGCACTATACTCACGAGTTGAGCATCCCAAATTTAAAATCCAAAATGCTTCAGTGAACGTTTCCTTTGAGCATCAGCTCAGCACTCAAAAAGTTTCAGATTGGGGGTTTTTGGATTTGGGATACTCAACCTACATTTGTAAAAACTATGGGTAAACACTATGGGTGGGGAGCTTTTCATCATCACCGATGCCTGAGCTACCCCCGGGAATTCTGAAGGAATTTCATTCCAGGTAGAGCCCAGGCATTGGGAAGTTTTTAAGGCTTCCAAGTAACTCGAATCAGCAGCCCAAGCTGGGAGCTGCGTGCCCCACCCCATCACCCTTCTCGTGCTCCTTACCCTACTTCCCGCCACCAGCCACCCCTGGACTCCAGAGCTCCCAGGGAGCCCACCAGCCACAAACCTGTGTCACTGGGATAAAGCAACCATGTAGCAAGGAAGAAGTTGACTGTGTCCTGTTCCCTGAAGGGGAAAGTATTGCCCAGAAGCTTTTCCTAAAGGACGGAAGTGGCACATTGACCATCTGCACCAATCCATGGGAAGCTCGTGCCAAGTTTCCTCTCCAGAAATTTTCCTTAAAAAGATTGTACTCAACTGCATGTAAGTGGTCATGAGTACAACCCATAATTATTCAGAACATGAATGACTTAGGTCCACGTTAAGTGGTAGAACATTGCACAGTTACTGAAAACGGCACAAACCTACAGATTTTTAGCATCTTGAGGATGTGATTGTTATAGTGTTAAGTGAAAAGAATGAAATTCAACATGTATAAATGTGATCAATCTACCCAGAAAATATGTGGGAAGCTCACTAGAAGAAAATGCATCAAATGCATCAAATGTAGAAGCGAGAGGCTTTTTTTTTTTTTTTTTTTTTTTTTTGAGTCTCTCTCTGTCCCCCAGGCTAGAGTGCAGTGGTGCAATCTCAGCTCACTCCAACTTCTGCCCCCTGGGGGTTCAAGTGATTCTCCTGCCTCAGCCTCCTGAGTAGCTGGGATTACAGGTGCACGCCACCATGCCCGGCTAATTTTTGTATTTTTAGTAGAAACAGGGTTTCACCATGTTGGTTAGGGTGCTCTCAAAGTCCTGACCTCGTGATCCACCCGCCTCGGCCTCCCAATGTGCTGGGATTACAGGCATGAGCCACCACTCCCAGCCGCGAGAGGCTTCTTTAACATGATCAGTGGTGTGAACTAATTTTTTTTCCAAATGTGTATGAGCTGCTTTAATAATAAAAATACATTCATTTCTTTTATAATAAAAATAAACTTGTCTTATGAGAATAATAAACTTGTTTATGTTAAACATTATGAAGACGTAAAAGTCTAGAAACCACCTATTGTAAGTTATAGAGCGCCCACTTCCAAAGCACATATACTAAAATTGGAACGATGCAGAGAAGATTAGCACGGCCCCTGCGTGTAAGTTACAGAATGAGGAAGATATGGTGTGCATACGACAAATGCAGTTAGGACAGTCAGGCAGGTGAATGAACAAGGACCGAGAAGATCACGGAGATACAAAGCTGCAGTGTTGGGCTCTGGTGACTGTCCCTTCTCACCTTTCCCTTGAACGTGGTGATTTAAAGGCAGGGAAAGAGGACTGGAAGGAGCCCAGGAGCCTCATCTGTGAGGCCCAGCGGACACTTGACTCTGTTGTCTGCCCGAAGGCGAGCGCAAAGAAGGGAAGCTAATGTGTTTTAAAACCACTTGGTCCAAATGAAATTACATAACCCAGGAAGGAACAAATCGCGTCGCTGATGAGAGTTTTTTTAAAAAATAAAGGAACAAGAAAAGACACAGGCTTGCTCCTGATGCCGCCCTTTGAGGGAGACAAGCTGGCTTGGGGGAGGGCACCTGGAGGTGCTGGCTTCGTTCTCTCATCCTCTTCAGCGGCTATAAAAGGGGGACAGAGGCTCCCGCCTCCTCGGCCCCACTGCGCCGGTAGCCAGGACAGCGCCTCTACCACACTCGAGAGCGGTGAGTAGCACATCCAGGCGCGGGAGCTTGGGTCCTCTGCTCTGCTACTTTGTAAAATCGTCCCTTTCTGTCTGAGTGTGGGTTGGGTTGAGACCCTGCCTGCTCTCCTGGCAGCTGAGGCTAGCCCTGAGCAGGAGAGGCAGAGAAGGCAGCCCCTGGGTTCTTGCATCCAAAGCCACCCTGCCCTCCCAGGGCCCCAAGGCTCTGGCGCTGTCCTTGGTGGAGACACCAGGCAAAGATGTCCCATTCAGCTCCACTGACACAGAAATCCCACGGGACAGACAGCCGAAGTCTCCACCTCTCAGGGAGGCAGGTCCTTGGGGATCAGGAGCCAAGTGAGCATCACTAGCATTCTAGGACATCCCTCACGTGGCATCGGTCCTGTGCTAGAGAAAATGCAAACAGCCAGCGTGCTGGGATGCATCTCTTTATCACTCTTCAAGGTGGCACCTCCATTTCCTCTAAACTGGGGAACGCCCCACCCCACCTGGCATGGGAAGCCCTGCCAGATCTCTAAAAAGGAGAGGGGTTGGCATTTTAAATTGTTCTGATGGAGAGCACCTTCTGTGGGGCTCCGGGAGGGACTGGAAAGTCAAGGTCAGCAGGAGGGGGTCTTCCCCAGAGCAAGATGGAGCTCTTGGGCATCTTCCCACGGCTCCCAAAGCGCCACAGGTGGAGGAAGGAGGAGGGGCATCTGCAGCAGGTGTTTCCAGGTCTGCCACGATGGATGCTGTTTAGGCATTTCAGCACCTCCACTCCAGTGGGGTGGAAGGGGCTTTCTATGCACCTGGTCCCACCCACGGCAGCCCCCACAGCAGCCCCCTCCTCCCATCACCGATAGCAAGTGGCCCTGCCTGGTGAGAAGAGGCCCCAGATGCTGCAGGTTTACCTTGGAGCCTCAGAAGACTGGATCTAGCGACATGGCAAAAGGGTGAGTGGGCTTGGTTAGGGCAGAGGATGCACTCATTCTATAACACGCAGCTGTCAGCTGACATCCCCCAGCAGGGCAGGAATGGCAAGCTGGAACCAAGCATTAGGAGGCCATGAGACAAATGTGGGAAACGACCATGCGCCGGATTCCAGCCCCTGAGCCTGGTCCAGGCTTGGGCACTCCCCAGCTCCCCAACCATGTCTGAGGTTGAGCAAGTGGCTGCCTCCACCTGTGCAGCTCCCTGGGCTCCTCCCCACAAACCTGCTGTCCTGGGTGTGCAACATGAACAGCCGTGCAGAGGCCTGCTGCACCTTCTGGTTCCCTAACACAGGCCGATAGACAAACCCAAGGCTGTTCCGTGATAGCCCCTCTTTGTAACGCGTAGCTCACACACCTCCTGAGGGCTTTCTGATCATCACCATCAATGTACATGTGACCGATCCCGTCAGAGGCTGACGCGCACAGAAGCACCTCACTTAACACCTCATTGCACAGAAGAGAGAATGGGGTCACAGGTGGGTGGGGGACCATGCAGAGAGCCAGGTTCAACTGCTATTTCTGTGCTTCTTCCCACCCCAACACAGATCAGAGGAACACATGGAGATATGTGGCTATGTGCACTGCACATCTACACATATACACACACTCACACGCACACATACACATCTACACACACACATCTACACTCAAACACACATCTACACACATACACACACATACACTCACACACACATTTACACACACACACACCTACACACACACACACCTACACACACACATCTACACACATCTATACACTCACACACATACACACACACATCCACATGCATACACACACGGATCTACACACATACACACACATCTACACACACACATCTACACACATACACACACACGCACCGTGTGCACACAAGTCACACCCTCTTGTACACATATACACACACAACTGTGCGCTGACATGCACACACACTCACGCACATACTTCTCTCTCACACACACACTTCTCTCTCACACACACAGCGCTCACAGGTCCCAGCTCTGTGCACACGCACCCTGATGCCCGTGTAACGCTGCTCCTGCCCCTTCTCCCCCAGGCCGTGTCCTCCTCATTTGGATCTCCCCTCCAGCGGGGTCTCCTTGGAGGAGCCAAGGGATGAAGGTGCTGAGGGCCTGGCTCCTGTGCCTGCTGATGCTGGGCCTGGCCCTGCGGGGAGCTCGTACTCACCGGCTCTCCATGGAGATCCGCAGTGAGTGCCTGGACCCCTGTCAGCCTCCCTTACCCCACCCTGCCTCACCCCAGAACCTGGTGCAGCCTGGTCACTCGAGAACCTGGCAGGAACGGGGTGCGGGGGAGGAAAGGGAAGTCAGTCCTGGTGCTTTTTTGAACTCCTGCTTCCCAAAGCCAGCCCATGCCCAGAAATGGCCTCACCAGGACCTCTGGGTGCCTGTTCTTCGGGTGGGTCCCAGCATGGCCTGGCAACTGGGCTGAGACCCCCTGCCTGTGCGCTCTGCCCTGCTGCCTCTGGGAGCACACAGCACACCCTGGGGACACGTGCCCATGGTCTGCTCCAGCTCTTTCCTTTCCAGCCCCTGACATCAATCCTGCCTGGTACACCAGTCGTGGGATCAGGCCTGTGGGCCGCTTCGGTCGGAGGAGGGCAGCCCTGTGGGACGTCCCCAAGCCTGGCCTGCGACCCCGGCTGACTTGCTTCCCCCTGGAAGGCGATGCTATGTCCTCCCAGGATGGGTGATAGCCAGCTTGTCAAGAAAATCACTCTGGAGCCTCCCCCACCCCGCCCTCTCCTCTCCTTCGGGCTCCTTTCCCTTCAATCCTAATAAAAGCTCTGGTCTTGCTTAGTTGCACATTCACGACTGTGTGGTGGTGACTCTGAAGTTCTTCCCTCCTGGGACGTTAGACTAGAAAGAACCTCAGAGCCCAGCAACTTCTTTGGAAGAAAAGGCTCTGTGACTTGGCAGAGGGCACCTGGCACTGAGGTGTGGAGCTGGGACCACCCTTGGTCACCAGCAGCCCACAGTCACCCCTACACCCAAGCTGCCCTGAGTGACTGCCCAGGCTGCCAACTGCATGAGGCCAGGAGGTGCCACACATCATACTCTGCAGGACACTGCCCCCATAGGAGGGTAGCACAGCCCCCAGCCTGAGCCCTGGGCAGCCCCTCAATGCCAGTCCTTTTTTTCTAGACTTTGTTTTTCAGAGCAGCTTTAGGTTCACAGCAAAATTGGGTAGAAGGTAGAGAGAGTTCCCATCCGCCCACTTCCCCTACATCCGCACAGCCTCCCCCATGGTAAACACCCCCACCGAGGGTGCCTTTGTCCCAGTCGAGGAACCCACGCCGACACATCCACATCCCATCCCCATCCAGCGTATGTCAGAGCCCACTCTTCACGCTGCATGTGCTGCGGGTTCGCACAAATATACAACAACATGATGTAGCATCATGCAGAGTCATTTAACTGTCCTAGAAGTCCTCTGGGCTCCACCTATTCATCCCTCCCGACAACCCCTACAACTGCTAGTCCTCTTATTGCAGTCTGTCTTGCCTGCCTCTTACTCAGGGAAGATGCACCATGGATTGTTTCTGACCCATGGCAGGGAGACTTGAACCTAGATTGCTCCCACGCCACGCGCGTCCCTTTCAAATCACACGGGGATGTCTCCACGTCCTGCCTCAGGTGTAGCTTACATTGACATTGGGGGCACACTTGCACCACCTGGGAGATTGAGTTCATCCTTTGAATCCCTGAGCCTCAGTTTCCACATCTGCATGCCACAGAACAGCAACGCTTACCTCATTCCTGAGCTCGGTGGGCATGGCACCTGCACGCCAGCCAGCACAGGGTGGGTGCTCTGTGAGTGCAAACCCCTTCCCCAAGGCCCACCCCCCAACCCAGCCACATAACAGGCTTAACCAGCAACCTCCAACCCAAAGCTTGGCTTGGACTCTGCTGGACACTGGCTGCAGAGGCTGATCTCAGGAGCCCACCCTGACCACAGCCCTCTTGGCCATGCATGCTCAGAGGGGCCAGTGGCAAGGCCCAGACCACCCACACGGGGCTAAGTTGGGGTGACTGCACCTCCCCAGCTACAGGGGAGCCCCTCCAGCCCTGGGCACCTCACCAGGGTAGAGTGAGTCTGCGGGAACAGGAAGGGGGCAAGGCCTGGTCCTAGGGCAGCAGGGGCTAGGTCAGGCCTTAAAGAGGCCACAGCCCTCAAAAATTTAAACAGGCAGTTATCAAATGACCCAACAATTCACCCCAGGTGTAGACCCTGGAGAACTGAGGGCAGGTGCTCAGCACATCCCCACACAGCAGCGTTTACAGCGGCACGCTTCCTAGTAGCCAAAGGGTGGTCACGACCTGAATGCCCATTGCCTTAGTCAGTTCGGGCTGCTCTAACAAGATAGCATACGCACAGAGGCTCAGCCAGTAAACACTCGTTACTCACAGTTCTGGGGGCAGGAAGTTCTAGATCAAGGTGCCAGCTGATCGGACACCTTGATCCGACACCATCTTCTTCCTGGTTGACAGACTCTGTCTTCTCGTTGTATCCTTGCACGACAGAGAGCAGAAAGAGGAAGCAAGCTCTCTAGCCTCTTCTTATGAGGGCACTAATTTCATCCATGAGGGCTCCACCTTCATGACCTAATATCCCAAAGACCCGATCTTCTAATACCACCACAATGGGGGGAGGATTTCAACATGTAAATTTGTGGTGGAGGGGGAAGACACAAACATTTCATAACATCCATCAACAGAAGAATAGAAAAACACAGCGTGGTCTATCCATGCAATGGAATATTACTCAGCCATGAAAAGGAATGGAGCACTGATACATGCCACAACATGGAGGAACCTTGGAAGCACCATGCTAAGCAAAAGAAGCCAGGCACAAGAATTCAAATGTGTATGATTCTGTTTATATGAAAAGATTGTATGAAATTGCATATTCTATGGAAGTAGATTTGTGGCCGTCAGGGGATAGGGAAGAGGGGTTGGGGGGAATGACTGCTTAATGGATATGGGGGTTCCCTTTTGGAGGCAATGAAATGTCTTAGAAGTGGACCATGGCGGTGGCTGAAGAACAGACTGAATGTATTAAAAGCATATTTTCAGCATCCTTCTCCCAAGAATAAGGCCAGTCTCCTACATAGCCATAAAATTATCATACCTGAGCAAACCGTTGTAGTAACTTCACAATATCATCTAGTTTTTAGTCCGTACTCAAAAATCCCCATGTGTAGCAAGACAGTCTTCTTTTCCCCCACTGGGCTCCAATCTAAATTCACAGTCAGCTGTTTCTCTTTGATTCCTGACCAGTTAATTTTTTATGTTGTCCCGGTGTTGACTTTTTCAAGCACCCAGATGAGTCGTCTTGGAAAATGCTCCGCCTATATGGTTTGTAAGTTGTTCTCCCACGGCCATGTACCTGTTCTTCCATTCCCTGTACTTCCTGTCATCAGAGAGGTGCATCCAGGGTCTTGCCTGGATTCAGGTCACGCACGGTGGACCCAAACACTCTATGTCTTTCCTATTGCATCATATCTGACCATGGGATCCCGGGCTCCCTCTCTGACAGGTGCTATTTGACCCTGTGGTAGAGACAGATCTCTTCATTGTAAGAGGTTTTTTCCTGTGTGATCAATGTGAAATCCGTGGTGGGGACAGGGCCCCATGGCCAGATCCTGTTTCCCAGCCAGCTTGCAGCCTGAGATGTCAGTGTCCCCTGACTACTCATGCCAGGCTGAGCTCCTGCACCACAAGTCACCCCCACACCACGATGATTCTCTAATTCCTTCCACAGTCATTAGCTGGATTCTTCCAGAGAATTTTTTTTTCCTTTTTTTCTCAGAACTTTATAATTTTTGACACTCAAATTGGTCTAAATTTGGCCAGTGGGAGTCCTAAAGAGGGAATAAATTAAAAAAAAAAAAAAACTTTTTTTAAAGAATAGTTCTGTGAGTCAGCCCATCTGGGAAACACAGATCCATCCAGAGGAATGGGATAGGAACCTATTCAAGAGGAAACAAGACAGGCCGGGCACGGTGGCTCACGCCTGTAATCCCAGCACTTTGGGATGCTGAAATGGGCAGATCACCTGAGGTCAGGAGTTTGAGACCAGTCTGGTGAAACCCCATCTCTGCTAAAAATGCAAAAATTAGCCGGGTGTGGTGGCAGGCACCTGTCGTCCCAGCTACTCGGGACTGAGGCAAAAGAATCACTTGAACCCAGGAGGCAGAGGCTGCAGTGAGCTGAGATTGCACCACTGCACTCCAGCCTGGGTGACAAGAGCAAAACTCCATCTCAAAACAAAAAAAAAAAAAAAAAAAAGAAAAAGAAAAGAAAAGATTAGCCTCACAGGCTGGGACGGCAGGGGCTCCCAGGGCCACTCATCAACATTGCCATGCCTCTGGCCTCCACCACCACCCACCACAGGCAAACAACAGCTTATGAGAAGACCCAGGTCCAAACTCAGGCTAAGCAGGGCTGGAGCTGCTTCCCCAGCAGCAACCTGGACAGTGGGCACACGGACCAGCTTCCCCCAGGGTCTGGGGCTGGTGGGGTCCTGGAGTCATTCATCCTGAATCATCTGTGACACAAATGTCTGCGGCCCTGCTGGGGCCTCTCCCTGTGTGCTCTCAGAAATGGGGCCTTCCTGCCTGCTGCCCCACCCCAGCCCCGTTTCGGGACAGGGAGATACGGTGGTGGAGCATGGACACAGCTGAGCCTTCTACACGCAGGTGTCGGGCTGCGGGGGCTGTTTTTAGGAAAGCCCGCCTGTTCTTTAGGTCTCCGGGAAAAAAACGCGCTTTCCTCCCTTGGTTGGATACACATGTGTTGAGTGACTGGTGTGTGCCAGGCAGTGTAGGGGACCCTGGGAATCCCACAGAAATCAGGGCAGACAGAGGCCCTGCTCTCACTGAGGGTCTCAGCCTCACCTATGCTCACCTGGAAGGATTTAGAAATCCCTGTGCAGTCTGATGGGATCAGAACCTCCGGGTGAGATGCAGCTGTGGAGCTTGATTTTTTTTTTTTTTTTTTGGAGATGGGGTCTCATTCTGTTGCCCAGGCTGGAATGCAGTGGCTTGATCGTGGCTCACTGCAGCCTCGACCCCCAAGGCTCAAGCAATCCTCCCACCTCAGCCTCCAGGGTAGCCAGGACTACAGGTGTGCACCACCACACCCAGCTAATTTTTTGTTTTGCTTTTTGTAGAAACAGGGTCTCTCTTTGTTGCCCAGGCTGGTCACAAACTGCTGGCCTCGAGTAGTCCTCCCGCTTCGGCCTCCCAAAGTGCCAGTATTACAGGCATGAGCCACCGCACCCTGCTTAGGTGCAGGGCTTTCCGAAGCTCCCCAGGCGACTCCAGCACAGGGTTGAGCCCCGCCTGCCTAGTGGTGAGGGAGGAGGGAAAAGGGGTAGTCACAGTACCGGGAGACGGGGAACCCAGGGCTCCAGGACCACCACAGATCTGTCCACCCTTGGGGAGGCCATGAAATGACTCCTTGAGGAATCTCATATTCCTTCCCTTCTACGTCATCAAGCCGCTCCTCTGCAGCTCCTCTGAGCGCCTCCTGGTTTACTCTTCAGCAGAGCAAGCCCTCAGGACGCCAGGACCCTGGGACTTGCCTTACACAATGCTGGAGCGCCGCCTGGTGGCCATGGGCAACCTCAGCCTGCGGCCACCTGCAAGGTGGGTCCCACTTGGCTCAGGGCCCGCTGCAGGGGCACAGGGCACGAGGACACAGCCTAGGACACTGGGGACTCACACTTCATGTTCTTCATCGGCAAGGGAATCATCGCATGAAAAATGGTCCAACTTTATTAGCAGCCGGAAACTGCAATGTGCATAGCAATAATAGTGTCAGATTTCACCTGTGAAATTGTCTAAGAAACGAGGACAGTACTCGTGAAAAGCAAGGGAACAGGCCCTCTGGGGAGCTATTGTTTTCTTTCTTTATCCTCTAGCTCTTCTTGGAGATCATGACAGAGGCGTGTGAAATCTGGTCTGCAATTGTCTAGTAAAGATCACGTGAGAAGTTCATTTCAGGTCACACTAGCACCGGGAAAGCCAGACTCCAAGGGAGACCCAGGATGTCTCCTTGTCTCCAGGATTGAAAGCTGGATCTGCCAGGGGCCCAGTGGCCCCAGGTAGCTCCTCCAGTTAGGAAAACGAAGCCCGATCGTGAGGGAGGTACTGTTATGAAGCTGTGGTTGGAACGCTGAGAAACCCAGGCTGGCAAGGAGGGGCTGTGCCCACCCTGGGCCCAATGGATGAGGGGAGGGAGCAGCCCCCGGAGCCTGCAGGAGGAGAGGCCTCTGTGGCAGGGGCAGGGGCTTCTGGCCGGGACACAGCCAGCCTCACCAGGTGGGCCCTAGGCAGTGGCTGGCCTCCGTGTCCCCTCCTCCATCCCCTGTCAGGGCTCCCCATGGTCTGGGCACCACTGAAGGCCAAGGCCTGGCATCTCTGTGCAAAGTGAATGAGAGCAGAGAGAAGCCCGGAGGAGCCGGGGAAGTTCCAGGCACAGAGCCCTTTCCCCTTTCGCGTGATGAGAAGCTCAGCGTCAAACGAGAGGTACTTTGCTTTCTCCTTACTTGATCCTTATAGCAGCCAATACAGTGATGCCACTTTTTCCAGGTGGATAAAAATGTCTTATTGTTTAAAACTTACCCCTGCTTATCACAGTCCCAGGGACAAGGATGAAAACCAATATAACCTTCCAAAAAGTGGCCACCTTTGAAATAACCTTGCCACATCAGGTGTCCAGAAAGAGACCCAACAGGGAAACATCATGTGGGGTTTACCCCCCAAAACAGGGTCTGGGTTGCTGCTGTTTGGATATTTGTCCCTTCCAAACCTCATGTTGAAATCTGACCCCCAGGGCTGGACGCGGTGGCTCATGCCTGTCACCCCAGCATTGTGGGAGGCGGAGGCGGGTGGGTCACCTGAGGCCAGGAGTTGGAGACCAGCCTGACCAACATGATGAACCCCCATCTCTACTAAAAAATACAAAAATTAGGTGGGTGTAGTGGCGCACACCTGTAGTCCCAGCTACTCAGGAGGCTGAGGCAGGAGAATCGTTGGAACCTGGGAGGCAGAAATTGCAGTGAACTAAGATCATGCCAGTGCACTCCAGGCTGGATGACAGAGCGAGACTCCATCTCCAAAAAGAAAAGAATAAAAAAAGAAGAAATCTGACCCCCAGTGTGAGAGGTGGGGCCTAATGGGAGGTGCTGGGTCATGGGGGTGGGTCATAAATGGCCTGGTGCCATCCTAGCAGTAATGAGGGAGCTCTTACTCCAAAGCTCCTGTAAGAATTCCCCCAGAGCTGGTTGTTAAAAAGAGTGGGACCTCCCCCCTACCCCTCTCCCCGTGTGACCTCTGCACACCAGCTCTCACTGCCTTCTGCCGTGAGTGGCAGCAGCCTGGGGCCTCACCAGAAACAGATACTGGCCCCATGCATCCTGTGCAGCCTGGAGAGCCATGAGCCCAACAAACCTCTTTCTTCATAAATCACCCAGCCTCAGGTATCCCTTTATAGCAACACAAAAACAGACTAAGGCATGGGTTTCTCTGTAAAGGGAGGCAGGCAGGATGAAGTGTCGCCATCTGGGAATGCATCCCATCCAGAGAGCTGGGCCAGGCCCACATTCGTCACAGCCTGCCACATGGGCCTGCTTCCTTATTTACTTAGCAGGAACCCTCCCAGAATCTATACAGAAATACCTACAACCATCCATCAGGCGCAGTGCCCCGCCTTGTCCTCAAAAACTTCCAAAAGCCAGATTGTCAAAAGCCATTTAATTTTTGGAGAAAACAATGCATACACAGTACACGTTACATCTCAGGCGAAATGTCTCAGAACCTTCCTACGCATTGGACAGAAACTCAGCTTCACCACACTGCCAGCCGGGAGACCATGGGAGGGAACTGGCGCCACTTCCCCCAGCTGCCCTTCCCACGGGCAACTTCACCAATATGCGGAAATCCCGCGCCCACCCCACAGTCAGTCATTGCTCTGTTTCTTCCCGGCACCACCACCTCCATCTGGGCCTGCTCCCCAACTCCCTGAAGCAGGTGGGCCCAAGCTCCAGGCCAGTGCCCCACTCAGATCAGGCGTTAGGCTTCTTCCCACCATCGCTGTGCTCCAGGGACTTTTCCAATCCTTCCTTCCTCTCTGCCCAGAGGCTGCCTGGCTGAGGGGGCCACCGTCCAGGTAGGGCAGGCACAGGCATCGGGGGACCAGAGGGTGTCGGTGGGGATGGGGCACAGCACTTTCCTGGGAGCCATGTGACATCAGATCTTCCCCTGGCGGTTTCCACTGGCTGTGGGAAGTGGTTTTTATAAAGGGGGCCAACTTCCAGGAACCTCTAGGGCTCGGGAGCAACCCAGCATCAAGAGCGAATCAGAATCCTCGCAGAGCTGGCCATGGCCCAGGCAGGGGGCGTCTTCTCCACAGCCCCCAGGAGCGGCTGCACCTAGTGGGCACAACATTTGGCCTGCCTCGCGGGCCCCTCGTTCAGAGCCACAGCTGCATCCGCCTGCAGAGCCTGGCCCTCCCTGTCGTCTCTCTGCAGTAGCTCTTGGGCTGTGAACGGCAAGAAGAGGGGAAGGGAAGTCACCCAGCCAAGCACAGCCCTGCAGACCAGCCACCCCGGGCGGGACCCACCCCTCTATGTTTATCCGGAACCATAGACCAAGGGCCTCCTGCCCCTCCTGGTCACTGTCCAGTCCCTAGAGACATCCTATGGGATCCCACGTCACCAGCAACAGGGACCCAGGGAAGTCGGTCAAGGACAAGCACCTCCCACCTTGTCTGGCCCGTGGGGATGTCACTCACCCACGGCACTGAACACCTCTGACACCTGATAGTTCAGTTTGGCCGAAGTTTCCATGAACAGCAACTTCTGGCTGTCTGCAAACTCCTTCCCTTCCTGAAAGAAACAGTCACAAAATCCAGCGTTGTTTATAAGAGTTTCCTAAGGACACCTGGTTCACTTCCAACGGTAAGACCTGAGAAAGCTGCAGCTGTGGAGCCCGCACTCCTCCGCGTTTCACGTCCAAGTTGTGTTTCTCGCACTCCTGGACAGCCAGGGCCGGGGAGGGGCAGGGTGTGCTCCCTGGTAGAGGCTCTCCTTCTAGCTGGCTGGGGACGGCCTTCCTCCTCCTGCAGCACCTGGAAAGCCAAGTTCCCACCCCCAGGCTCCCCTCCCACCATGCCTGTTGGCACCTGTGGGCTTTGATGCTGGGCAAAGAACCAACTGAATACCCAGGAAACAGAAAAGGCAGAGGGAGGCCCCTGGATAGCGCCCACCTGGGCCCTTCTTCTGGGAAGCCCTCATTTTCCAGCACAGCTCTCCTTTGGGGAGAAACGGATGTCCCAGAGCAAAGGCAAACTGGAAAATAGCAGGCTTGCAACGGGTGACCAGGAGAGAAGCAATCATGGGAAGGCCACAGCCTCGCCCAGGAGTCAGGGGTGGCCGAGGAATGGGGGCCTTCCTGTGCAGGCCCCTCCCCTAGCCTCCAGGACTCTCCCAGGAAGAGGAGCCTGTGATGGATCCCAGAGGGCACAGCTCAGGTTCCTGACTGTCCAGCCAGACACGGAGCTGGCAGCAGGTGTGGCCAGTCACACCCACAGCTCTCGCACCATCATGAATGCACTACTCCTGTCCCGGCCCAGAGATCCCTCGGCCGGCCCTGTGTTGGTCCCCACTGTGCGCCTCAGCCAGCTCCCCAGACAGACGCTCCAAACCCACCGTGGCCGCCCACTGCCCCTCCAGGCCTTGAGTAACCTCGCACCTGTGTTTCTGTGCCTGCCTGAGCACGCAGCACATCTAGTCACTCTCAGGGGACACAGCTCTGTTGCCAGGACCCTCTCCTCCCCCACCCCACTTTGCAACGAAGGCCCAGACCAATGCTGTCTCCCTTTGCTCCCCTTGCTCTCCCCTGAGATTCTCCAAAATCTTCACCCCACTTCTCCATCTCTCCACAGCCTCCATTGAAGCTGGGGCCTTTTCTCTTTGGGAGGCGCGCCTGTCGGTCTAATCCCTGAGTTGGGTCTTCCCCTGGGCCAGCCTCTAGTATGTGTGGGGTCTCCCCATCTGCCACTTGTCTGCAGCTGTTTATATGGTCTTCATCCTAAATGTAGCGGGGAGGTGGGATGCCAATGGAAGAGAGACAACAGAACACCTGGGTGACCGCTGCCTCTGCCTGTAAGGAGGCCTGACAAAACCCGGGTGAGGGAGGCCATATTTGCACAGAGGCCCCTTCTGGGAACCGAGTGGGGAAGGGAGCCCTACTGAGGAAATAGATTGCTTTTCTCGTTCAAGCCGAGCCCACCTTGCAGTGCCGCCCTGCCCTTCCCTCTGCCGGCCATGCCGTGCCTGCTTCTCCACCACTGGGCTGGAACTGCCATGGTGCTGGCCCTGAGTTTTTCAGGAAATCTTTGACTAACAGAGAAACTCAGGTGGAAAGTTGTGTGTGTGTGCATGTGTGCATGTGTGTGCGTGTGCGCGCGAGTGTGCATGCTTGTACGTGTGTGGGTGCAAGTGAGAGTGAATGTAGGGGGGTGTGCATGTGTGTGCAGATGCATGTGGGCTTGTAGAGGTGTGTGTGCACATGTGTAAGTGTGTGCAAGTGTGGGTGTGCGTGTGTGAAAGTGTGAGTGCCAAGGTCTTGACACAGGCGGGCAGGGCTCTCTCCTCCTGTGGAAGAGGAGAGCAGGGTCTCCTAGGCGGTACCTGGAAGGTCACCTCCCGCTCCTCGCTGAGGTCTGTCTTGTTGCCCACCAGCATCACCAGGACTTCTTCCGGGTGCAGCTCCTTCTCCAGGTCCTTCAGCCACTGCTGAGCCTTGAGGAAGGAATCCTAGAAAAGAAAAAAAAAAAAGTAATGTCAAACAAAACTTACAGGTGGTCATTAGCTATTCCGGCGGGGAAAGCCAGTGTTGCTGTTCATGTTGTGTTAAACGTCACAGAATCCAACTGGCCATGGACACACCTGCAGGCTGCTCTGTTCCTCTGAGGAGGGCACGTTCCTGTCCTGGGTGACCTGTGCGGCCAGGCAGAAAACTGCTGGGACACACATCAGATCCTTCACCCTGAGCAGGCCCAGGAGACTGCCGGCCATGGGGTATGTCAGGTCAGGCCTTGAGCTCCTGAATCTTCCACCCCTAGATGTCCTCAAAGGACCACTCTGTGCAAGAGTCTGGGGAACTGGCCACCACCCCACACCCTGACCCTAATGCAGCACCAGGAACTACTGAGTGGCAGATGGCAGCGGCGTGTTCTTTGTGGACCACAGAGGAGCAGAACCCCGACTGTGCAGGAGGATGGGGAGTTGTCAGGAGGCCATCCTGGAGGAGGTGTTACTGCTAGGATGGCACCAAGCCATTTATGACCCACCCCCATGACCCAACACCTCCCATGGCATCATTGCATTGGAGAAACTAGAAGGCAGGTGCTTGGGAAGGAGGATGGGACATGCCTCAAGGTGGGCCCTACCTTCCTGGTGATGTCGTACACCAGAAGCGCAGCATTGGCGCCCCTGAAGTAGAGGTGGCAGACACTGTGGTACTTCTCCTGGCCAGCTGTGTCCCAGATCTCAAGCTTCAGAGAGGCGGTGCCTACATCCACCACCTTTGTGAAGAACGCACCTGAAACAGGGAGACCCACAGGGCTTACTCAGAGGATGAGGTTGCCACGTGTGGCTCAGGTGGGACCACAGCGAGCCACAGGCACAGCAATGGGCTCAGAGGGACAGCTGGTCACGTGCCTCCTATGCCCGCATGGCCGGGCGGTTGAGCAAACAGTTATTCTGGGAGATGGAGGCTTCCACATCAAGCAAAGTGTCAGGAGTGATTGCTATGGGGCCTTCGGAGAGGCTTTGGTTGGGAAGATAAATCTCCAGGACCTAGCACAAAAGCTCTGGGTTACATATGCCATGGAAGGGATCTCCACTTACCGGGAGTCCAACACATCCCTGCCAGCTTCCACAGATGCAGCTGGGCTCTGGGGACCCCTAGAACCCTGAGCACCCCCAGCCCACTGGCCCCTTGTCTGCCAGACCCATCTTGCACAGAGGCAGTCACAATTGCACAAGCTTCTCCAAGACCTTCCTCGCCTCCTAACCTCCCCACTTTCCTGATGCTGCTCCCCACCAACCCCCTTCTCTACTGTCCCCTCTGCATGGCGTCCTTCCTCTTCTTACCTAGAAAACTCTTAGGTGTCCTTTGAGCTCTTCGAGTGGCAACCCCTGCCTCCATGGAAGCCTCCCTGCACCCCATACACACCCAGAGGCAAGGCTTCCTGCATTCTCTGCCTGTCTCCCCCAGAAACGCAGGGGCTTTGTCTTCACACACACACACACACACACGCACAAAAACTACCCTCACGCACTTTAACATATTGGGCAACGCACTGTTCATTTAAAGATTTTCTACCCTTTGCTTTCCAAAGAGATATGATTTTTAAAATGATTATTTTCTAGATCTCCAAAATGTTTTGCCCATCGTGTGTGGCTTGTCAGGGACGTGTTATACACAGAATCGGAGAGGAAGGGGTGGGGGAAGGCAAGGTGTCTGGGGCATGGAGGAGCCACCAGCACTGGCAGGCTCCTGTCAAAGCGGCTACCCTGCCTAGACCCTGGGTTGGGTTTGGAGTCTGTTGGGGAGATTCCGGCAAATGGAGCCACAGGTTTAAAATGAAAAGTTTCACTCCAAGGACAGTGCATGCGAGTCCTGCAGCTGCCAAAACAAAGTCCCACGAGCCGAGTGGCTCAAATTAGCAGATTTCTTCCTGCAGTTCTGGAGGCCAGAGGTCCAAAACCAACACGCTGGCTGGGTTGGTGCCTTCCAGAGACTGAAGGAGAATCCGTCCCAGGCCTCCTCCAGCTTCAGGGGCTGCCGGCAACCCTGGTGTTCCTGGTGGCTGCATCACCCCCATCTCTGGCTGTCTTCATGTGGCTGCATCTCTGTAGCCGCGTCCTCTCCCCTTCTTATAAAGACATCAGTCACTGGACTTAGGGGCCATCTGCAAAGACCCTCTCTCCAAATAAGGTCGCACTCACAGGTTCCAGGGGATAGGACTTAATTGCATCTTTACAGGTGGGAAAAACACAGTTGCACCCACTAAACATAGAACAGGAGGTTGGACAGAGCTTTCCAGCATGATGCAGCAAGACCATGCTTCTCTCTCATGACACGGCCTCTTCCTAAACGGAAGCCACCACCTGGGCTCTTCTGCCCGTGTGTCCTACAGTTTCCTGCAGGTCCAGGAACTTGAAGTTAGACAAACTCTCCAGGTCAAACAAAGCTGCAGTCTCCATCCAGACAGTAGGACCAGTGATTTCCAGCTCAGACGGGGCAACTGTTGGGACTGAACCGGCTATACACCTCTGAACTCATCAGGTGTTCCACTGGATTGACGACGGTGCCAGAATGAAGACTGTGCCCAGGCCATGAGTGTAGACCCCTCAGCTGATCTGACGGCAGCTTGCTTAAACTTTCTAAGTCTCAGCTTCCTCGTCCATAACAGGAGCTAATGGTGCCCTCTACCCAGGGTGGCAGTTAAATCGTCTGAGCAAGGAGAGAAAGAGAACATGAGTTTTGCTTCCTCTTCCTGTCCTCTTTGCTCTTCGTGGACTTGTTGTCTTAAAACGTGGGCCTTTCATCCTCATCTTTCTGTTTCCCATCACTTCAAATCACATTTCTCAGTTTGAATTTGGTTTTATCTTAAAAGCTGGTGCAGGTGACACGTGAGCATAAAACTCAGGTTTGCTTCCTCCATTGACCAACCTTAGCCTCTCATATTTTCCTTTTCCATGTTGAAAATGATGGCTGGAGGCCGGGCACAGTGGCTCATGCCTGTAATGCCAGCACTTTGGGAGGCCCAGGTGGGTGGATCACTTGAGGTCGAGTTCGAGACCAGCCTGACCAACATGGTGAAACTCTGTCTCTACTGAAAATACAAAAATTAGAAAGGTGTGCTGGCACGCCCCTGTAGTCCCAGCTACTCAGGAGGCTGAAGCAGGAGAATCACTTGAACCCAGGAGGTGGAGGTTGCAGCGAGCTGAGATCGTGCCACTGCACTCCAGCCTGGGCAGCAGGAGACAGTGTGAGACTCTGCCTCAAAAAAAGAAGAGGAGAGGAGAGGAGAGGAGAGGGGAGGGGAAGGAAAAGAAAAGAAAATGATGGCTGGTGGTTGAATTTACACTAATGTAAAATCCCAGCAAAATTCCAAGGAGGGCATGGGTCTTAGTCCAAGCAATGATAATGCATGATAATAGTCAATGTTTAGCTATTTACAGAACATAGACCCTTCTCTTCCCTGCAGAGAGATGTAAGGCCCTCAGGTGGGCCCCTGGACAGGTATCTGAGGCAACCTAGTCTTGTGCACTCCTTGGCTCTGACCTGGAAGACAACATGCATTTATTATCATATCCTTTTTCAGAAACCCACTAACCACATGTTCTGTATCTCCACAGCTAAAGCCAAAATGTAATTAAAAAATAAATTTTTGGCTGGGTACAGTGGCTTATGCCTGTAATCCCAGCATCTGGGGAGTCCAAGGAGGAAGGATCACTCTAGCCCAAGAGTTCAAGACCAGTCTGGGCAATGTAGTGAAACCTTGTCTCTATAAAAAATACAAAAATTAGCTGGGTACGGTGGAGCACACCTGTGGTCCCACCTACTGAAGAGGCAGAGGCAGAGGATTGCTTGAGCCCAGGAGGTTCAGACTACAGTGAACTGTGATCGTACCACTGCACTCCAGCCTGGGCAACAGAATGAGACCCCATCTTTAAAAAAATAAAAATAAAAATAATTCCTCTACTAAATTTTATTTTCTTAATTTTAATTTTTTTTTTTTTTCTGAGATGGAGTCTCACTCTGTTGCCCAGCCTGGAGTGCAGTGGCGCAACCTCGGCTCACTGTAAGCTCCACCTCCCGGGTTCACACCATTCTCCTGCCTCAGCCTCCCAACTAGCTGGGATGACAGGTGCCCACCACCATGCCCGGCTATTTTTTTTGTTTTTTAGTAGAGACAGGGTTTCACCATGTTAGCCAGGATGGTCTCGATCTCCTGACCTCGTGATCCCCCCGCCTTGGCCTCCCAAAGTGCTGGTATTACAGGCATGAGCCACAGTGCCCAACCTAATTTTAATTTTTCTTTAGTAGAGGCACGGTTTTACTATGTTGCCCAGGCTGGTCTCAAACTCCTGAGCTCGGGCAATCTGCCCGCCTCGGCCTCCCAAAGTGCTGAGATTACAGGCGTGAGCCGCTGCGCCCAGCCTCTTTACTAAATGTTAGCATCATATAAGTGGTTTTGCTTTTTTACCTTTTAATTTAAGTAAACAGCTGATTCTGCTCATTGAAGCCTTCTCTGTAGCACTTGGCTTTTTTTGTAAAAGTAGTGAGCTGATGACAAATTGAAAGGAACATGAAATGGAAACTTATTTTCTGGGGGCTCTAGGACATCAGCCACGTTCTCGGTTTAGAAGGGAAGTGAACTGGTGCCGGGTTGAATGTGCCTTGTACCTGTTTGTCACCCTCCCCTTCCTGCAAAAAGCCCAGCAAGTCTGGGGTGAGTCGTGGCTTCAGCTGGCAAATGTTCACACAAGCACTAGATGTCACCATCCTTCCAAAAGATGTCATGCAAAAGTCGGAATCTCCCCTGCTGTGGCCCGTTAGGACGCTGGGGGCAGTCCATGGGTAGCGCCAGCCCCCATCCCTGACACAGCAGTGGCTCCTGCAGCTGCCACCTCCTCAATAGGCCCTGGCGGGGGTGGGCGGGAGGCTGGGCTCACTTGGACTCCTGTCTGCTCTGCCTCTGCCCTGCCTGCTCGCATGGCACCGGCCAGCACGTTGGGTTTCCAGCTTCAGGGCTCGAGTCCGTGTCACTTTCTGGCTCTGCTTCCTGCTTCCTCTGGATGGATGGTGTCTTGCCAGGAGCTGAGCCCACCGCCTGTGTCACGTCCTGCTGTGGGCCCCACCCCACACACCTGTCCACGGAACCAGACCCCCTCGGGAGGGCCCCAGAGACGCAAGTCAATCCTCCTGAAGGCTGACCCCTCAGACAGGGCTGGCCTTGGTGACCTTAAGCCACCCAAAGTAACAGCAACCTTTCATGGAGAGCCCACTCCAGGAAGGTGTTTACACTCCCATTTCACAGGGAAAAAATCCAGATGGAGGGAAGGAGCGGCATTCCTGTGGCCGTCCATCCCATCCCTCCCTCGGGGTTCCTGCAACCAAGCACTGGGCGCATTGCCTCCTGCATTTCCAGGCTGCCTGTGAGGACAGCACTCCCGTTCTCCTCTGAGGCTCTGCTCCTGGCCCACCCTCTCCCCTGGGCAGGAGCCAGTGTTCTTGATAAAAGCTGGAGTCACACGTGACAAAAGCAGCAGGAGTGTCTGCTCTCAAAGGGTTTTCGTGCAACACAGATCACTCTTCCCCCAAAGCACATAAGTTAAAGGAATGAGCACATCCCATCTCCTCATCCTAGAAGCGGCAATACCCACATTTATAATAATATATGATCATGTAATGATTATAATGATGATTAACAATTAACATACACTTTGGGAGGCCAAGGCTGGTGGATTGCTTGAGGTCAGGAGTTCGAAACCATCCTGGCCAGCATGTTGAAACCCCATCTCTACTAAAAATACAAAAATCAGCATGGTGGTGCACACCTGTAATCCCAGCCACTCAGGAGGCTGAGGCAGGAGAATTGGTTGAACCCAGGAGGCGGAGGTTGCAGTGAGCCAAGGTCGCACCACCTCACTCCAGCCTGGGCAACAGAGCGAGACTCCGTCTCAAAAAATAATAATAATAAAATAACTAACATAGGCCAGGTGTGGTGGTGCACACCATGGCAAAACCCTATCTCTACAAAAAATATAAAAATTAGCTATGGTGGTGTGCACCTGTGGTCACAGCTACTCTGGAGGCTAAGGTGGGAGGATGGCTTGAGCCCAGGAGGCAGAGGTTCCAGTGAGCCACTGCACTCTAGCCTGGGTGACAGAGCAAGACTCTGTCTCAAAAAAATTAACATAATGATAATAATAAATTGCATGACATCTATCCATAGCTATAGTAATATCTACCTCCCAAAGCTGTAATATTATCCCAAGGTGTAACGCAGACACTCAGATGGAAGCAGAGAAGACCAGCGTTCCCACAGGGGACTCAGGCAACAGCAAAGGAAGGAGCTTCCACAGTTCTGCTCCTGCAACCCAGCACAGCTGCCCCCACACCCAGGTGCTCAATACAAAAGTACGGACCCCAGGGTTGGAGGCTGATGGGATGAAGGCGGCTTGTGAGCCACAGGCTAACCTATTCTGGCCATTCTCCTCCTCTCCCTGTTGTGCCACGGGCCATAGCCCACAGCCTCCCAACCCTGCCCCATCACGGAGACCCAGAGTGGGAGCAAAGACTCCACACAGCAGGCCTGGGTGAAAGGCAGAGTCCAGCCTGTAGAACGGTCCTGCCCCTCGGAGAGAGGACACAAACCCGGGCCCCGGGGAGAGGGGTTTGGAGGAAGCGAGGCCCTGGCTTTCATCTGAAAGCTGCTGGCAGTGGGGTGGCCCCTGAGGGCCCAGGCAGAGGACCAGGAGTAGAGTGAGACATACAGGCCTTCCCCGCAAGCAAAGACCCCCAACCTGGCCTGAGACTCCCCAGCAAGCCCAGCTTTGTTCACCCCTCTGAGCCTGGTAGGCCCCCTGAAGAGAGGGCGGGCAATTGGGACAGCCAGGGCAGGCGTGAGGGGGACGCTCGGACCCTGGCTTGATGGAACGAAAGGAACTAGGGCCTCGCCCTTCAATGTCGGGGCCTCCATCCCCCTCGCCTGTAAAATACAGAATGCCCAGCACCACCCTGAGGCTCCACGGACCCCACACATTGCCCCCTACCCCCACCCAAGGAAGGTGGGGGCTCTGTGGGTACAGCTCTCTGTGGGCTGAGCACATCCAAGCATGTCTCAATGAATCCAAAGCACCCTCCCACCCTCCAACCATGCATCTCGGAGTCTCTCAGCCCTGCTTGCACTCACCCAGTGAGTGCCTTTGGGCACTGGCTCCTGCAGGCTCTGCTAGGGTGGCAGCACAGAGTCCTTCTGTACAAGGCCCTGTAGCAAATACTTCAGGTTTTACTGGCCATGGGGTCACTGCTGCAACCACTCAACGCTGCTGCCGTTTTAGAGTGAAAAGAGGAGGAACAGCAAGAATATCATTTACAGAGGGTAAGTACCTGAACAGGTAGAGCTTTGTCTCCACAGAACCTTATGCACAAAACAAGCAGAACAGCCAGAGAGCCACAGTGTGCAGACCTCCGTCTCAGAGCGAGATCCGTCCCCAGTCCAACTCACCTGGCCTGACACCTGCTGCCTCTCTCTGCATCTTGAATACCAGTCACCCAGGTACAAAGCTCTCAACATCCAGGCCCAGTGAGGCCCTCATCAGTGTTCTCTATTCTCAGCTGAGGCCACCCTCCGGCCAGCCTTGGCACTTTGATGTATTTTTAAAGGAAGCCAAGTCCAATATCAGGACTTGCGGGGTGAGGGGTGCAGATCTCCCTGCTAATGGAGAAGAGGATTGCATTGCCCACCCCAAGGCAACCTTGACTCTCTCCCCAGGGTTGCCCTCTGCAGACAGCCTCTCACCATCACTCTGGCCGTTCTCACCACTAGCTCTGGGAGTTGGACCAGGCAGACCCCTGCCGATCCCCCTGTATCTCCTGGGGATCCTTCAGGAACTACTCCCCACCCCCGAGAAAATGGAAGGGCTCCCTAATAGCTAACACCATGTGCCACATTTTGCAATTGTGTTTCTGTGTTTGGTGCATCTGTTTAGCCGGTTATAGAATCCTCCCCACCTAACGCAGGCCTGGAAAAGGGTTTGTGCTCAACAGATGCCTGTTAGATGAGTAAACGAATGAGTCCATTTGGAGATGGGCAGCTTATCCATGTCAGAGTCCGAATTTGAAACCAAAGCTCTGATTCTGCACGTGTTCCCCCAGGGGACATTGGCATAAAGAACACGCTGGCTTTCCCCATTTCAGGTGAAAACTGGGTTTCACTGCCTAGGCAGGCTGTGCCCACAGCAGGACGGGAAGGAGGCCAGCAGCCTGCAGATGCCCCATGCAGTCACTCCTGAGCTTCACGACAGGTTAGCCTTTTTAAGAAACACAGTGAGAAGGTCTCCCTCCCCACCCACGCCCAACAAGGATCCTCCCACCCCCAATCCAGGCCAAGCTGGTAAACCAAGTCCAGGTGGGAAGGAAGATGCTGGTGGGGTAAATAAAGCAAGGGAGCAGTGTTAGCAGGAGGGCGGCCTGGGTGGTGGGAGAGGACAGCTGGTTTAGGCCACTGAGTGGCCAGAGCCCAGGAGGCTTTATCCGGGCTCTCCCTTCCACCAGCATAATCCCTCACACCCAACCCAACCCTTTGGGGCCAGAGGTCCTACTCCAGAATCTCCACCCCCTGCAGACTCCAGCTGAGCTGAAATCTGACCCAGAGCCAAGGGTGCCTCCTGTCTTTGTAGATTCTGTGGCTGCGTTCATGGACCTCACTCCCTCCCCTCACACACTGGACACAGGCAGCTCAAGGCCCCAGGACAGCATGGGGATTCCTAGGCAGGCATCATCCCCCTCTGCCCCAGGTGTGAGTCAGCAGCCCAGACTTCTGCACTGGAGACCAGCAAAGGAGTGCTCTGCTCTCACTTACAGCCCACCGTAGGCAGGATATTCTTGAAGTCATTCTTCACGTACCGAAGAGCCAAGCTGGACTTACCCACGGAGCCACTTCCCAGGAGAACCAGCTTGAATGCACGGGGCTGGCTGGGGGCAGCCCTGGGCTGGGGGGTCCTGTGTGCCTGTGCCATGCCCTGCAAAGAATCACAACCGCCTGAAGCAGGTGGAACATCTGAGCCACATCAACTCAGCAAGCTCAACCCCGGGGCTGCTTCCTGCTCAGGAGCAGATGGTCCAAAACAGAGCTCCCAACTCAGAGGCCACCTGGGTCCACACTCCTGCTCCCCTCTGCCCCCCATGCCCCATCTCCCCATCTGCAGTTTTTAGGTCCATTTTTACGTCTGTGGTAAGGAACAAAAGGAGTTTTGCTTAGAAAGCTCCGGGCACAGGTCACTGCAGACCCTGAAAAGCAATGATTACATGTGGAGGTCTTAGGGCTTATTGTTCACCTTCCATTACTTTGAATTTTTACAAATCTATTACTTGTCCCCAAAGTATCTAATGCATGGAGAGGTAAAAAGCATCTGAGCATTTCTTGGATGGTTGTTCATGGATTAAAGTTGGTGTTTCAGAAAAAAATCTACCTAAAAAAAGTTGGTGTCTCAATGATCTCAAAACATCATAGACACATTCCTATTGTGTCTAAAGCCTCAGAATCCACAGTGGTATGCCCCAGAGAAAACCAATTTTGTGGTCAAAATAAATGTGGGTGACCCCTGCATATTTTTGCATTATAAAAACTCTCATGTACACACCACAATAGAGAGAACGGTCTGATGGGCCCATGGACCCCCCTCCTTCTTCCCTAGTAATCAGCTCAGCCATTCATGTCACTCACACTCCCAAACCTCCCCCTAGCAGGTTAATGTAAAGCAGATCCCAGGCATCCAATCCTCTGCAAATCTCAGTACAGATACAGGCATCTTTTTCTTTGCAGTTCACATGTTGAAGAAATCAGGTTGTCTTATAGATTTCCAGTACGGATGTTGCTGATTGCACCCCTGTGTTATTGAATGGAGTCCTCTGAACTTTGTATTTTTGATACGCGGTGGTTCAGGATATAAACCTGATTAGATACAGGCTATTTTTTGGCAAGATTGCTATGAGAGTGTGTGTGCACTTCCCGCAGAAGGCAAATAATGTCCAGTTGTCTCTCTGTGATGTTGGCAGTCACTGAAGACCATTACTTCGACCCGCTCTTTCACTAGAGGGTTGCAAAATGGTGACATTCTGATAATGTTCTAATGTTATCACTTGGTGCTTGTTTATTATCTAGGAAGAGAAGCTCTCCACAATCAATATGAAACCCATCGGGGGCAGCTGGTCCTGTGATCAGAGTCTCATCTCCCTCCCTCACCATGGTGGGCAAGAGGAAGGCTCCCTAAAGAGGGAAGGGGAGGAACTTTGAAAAGGAAAGAAGAAAAAGCAGGAGTGGTTGGAAGCAATCCACATGCCCTCACTGCCCCCAGTAAGGAGCCACGGCCACAGACTGGTCTGGTCTGCCCTGCAGGGATAAGAGGAGAAGTAATCAAGTTTGAAATCAGTCTTGAAACAAATAGGATGGGATCCTAGATACCAAGAAGATCGTTCTAGGCAGAAAGCGACTGGAGAGTCACAGAGTCCTTAACAGGAGGGTTTAGGGCTCTCTACCCATCAGAGAAGAAGGGCGCCACATAGTAGACTCGAGTGGTTATCCCAAACATGCCTGGAAACCCATCTTAGATGGAAATACTCAAGTTTCACCATCAAGTATGATGCTGGCTTCAGAGATGGATAAAAAACATAACATTAAGTTTTCCATCTGTGTTTCTTAAAAAAGAAGAAAGAAGAAAGAAAGAAAGAAAGAAAGAAAGAAAGAAAGAAAGAAAGAAAGAAAGAAAGAAAGAAAGAAAGAAAGAAAAAAAGAAAAGAAAAGAAAAGAAAAGAAAAGAAAAGAAAAGAAAAGAAAAGAAAAGAAAAGAAAAGAAAAAGAAAAAGAAAATCTCTCCAGGTGATCTCAATATGCAGCCAAGACTAGGAATCACTGCTAGAATTCTGTTTTCCTTGGAGCTGGGAATGGTGTCTAGCACATAGTAAGTACTCAATAAATACCTAAGAAATGAATGAATGAGGCCAAGCACAAAGAGCACATAACACAGCACCTGTGCTTTGAAATATCCTCCTGGATTGAGGATGATTTCTTGGGGGCTGGCTATGATTTGCATGGATCCTCCAAAAAGCAGATTTGAAAACTTAGTCCCCAGTGCAACCATGCTGGGAGGTGGGGCCTAACAAAAGGTGGTTGGGTCATGAGGACTCTGTTCTCATTAATCCATGCCCGGCACAGATTAACACTGCTGCACTCTTGCACGTCCACGAGCCTGTGTGTTCTCTTGTCCTTTCACCTTCCACTGTGGGATGACACAGTAAGAAGGCCCCAACAGATGTAGACCCCTTGGCCTTGGACTTCCCAGCCTCCAGAACCATAAGAGACAAATCTTTGTTCTGTATACATTTCTGTCTCAGGAATTCTGTCAAAGCAGCACAGACTAAGACAGCACCTGAGGCAAAGTGAGAGTGCCTGGGGTGGGAACTGAGTCCATCAGATAATCCGCTCAAGTCAGCTGGGGACAGGCTCTCAGAGGTCAAGGCACATCCCAGACTCTCTACCCTTTGGTGGAAGGGGAAAGGGTAGTGGGGGTGGGGTGAGGGAACAAACACTACTCAATGGCTACAGTGTATACTGCTCAGGTATTGGGCGCAACAAAATCTCAGAAATCACTGAAGAACATATCCATGTAACCAAATACCACCTGTTCCCCCAAAATCTATTGAAATAAAAAATAATTAAAAATAAACAAAAATATCCCGTCAAGTTCTCTTTGCTATTTATTTGTACAGGTTAATAAAACCTTTCCTAAGTCAAAAAAAATCTGTGGCCCAAAACTTGTCTGAATTAACTGAAATAGGTGGACTCTGAAGGAATGCACTGTGACTACTGGGATGCCAGCGTCTCATTCCTTTGACAATGATATGTCTCTTTAATAAGGTTATTTTATTTTGGGGCTGGGCGCAGTAGCTCATGCCTGTAATGGCACTTTGAGAAGCCAAGGTGGGTGGATCACTTGTGGTCAGGAGTTGGAGACCAGCCTGTCCAACACAGTGAAACCCCAACTCTACTAAAAATACAAAAATTAGCTGGGTGTGGTGGCGCATGCCTGTAATCCCAGCTACTTGGGAGGCTGAGGCAGGAAAATCGCTTGAACCCAGGAGGCAGAGGTTGCAGTGAGCCAAGATCCCACCACTGCACTCCAGCCTGGGCAACAGAGCGAGACTCCGTCTCAAAAAAAAAAAAAAAAAAGTTATTTTACTATAAACATACAAGTGTCAATATAAATAAACTACCCATAACTCCACCCCCTTAATACAACCACAAAAGGTATTTTTGCCTACTTCTAGCTTTTTTCTATGACTCCTAAAAACAAACCAAAACCCATGGTTTTAACATAAAAGTATTATCTCATATATGTAAAAAATACTTAAATGTAATAGCAAAGGCAGTCTCACATTGCTTCAAAATCATGTTTAGTGGACACATAACATTTCTACAACTATCTCAACTTGCTGAACCATTTTCCTAATACTGGATTTTTACTTAGTTTTAATTTTTTCTCTGTAATAAGACTGCAGTAAACATTTTCTTATATAACTTTTTGTGTGATTGAGTGTTGTAAGCTTTCAATAATGAAAGGTTGGAGCCTTCTGTCCAAAGAGAAAATTGAAAGTGTGGCGCCTGACTGCCCCCTCCAGAATTTAATCAAGATGGGGTTATTAGTAGTCAAAGACGTTATTAGGTTATTGAAGACAAAGATGCTTTCAGGGACACCATATTCAAGATTGGAGCTTCTCTAGTAATCTTAACTTGGGGCTTTTTCATTTCTTACACCTCCCTTCCACTAAAGGGAAAAAAAGAGAGCAAATCCCAAATCAGTCTTTTTTGTGGGGAAGGGGCCATTCCAGGGAAGGGTCTGGTTGATTAGTCTATTGCCAGCTGCGCTCCTGTGTCACCCTTGCCTGGGCCTGTGAAGAATATTGAGATTACAAGAGGTACACCAGCACAATGCATTCAGAATGCAGCCATTTGATACAGAAAGAAAACAAAATGTAGATTGTAAAAAGGAGTTTACAAGAAAACCTGACAAGCTTCCTAGATATCACTGGGTATTAAATTGGGGATTCTGATGTCATTTGAAATGGATTCCCTGAAGAGTTCTTCTTATTACCAGAAGTTTGTTTTTTTGTTCGTTTGTTTGTTTGTTTTGTGTTTTCAAGACCTTAAAACTGGAACTTTCCAGAAGAAAAAATCAAATAAGAATCTCTTTCTGGGAATCCAACCTAGTGAGCCATCAGAAATCTGAACCAGGAAGTCTCCGCCCCAGCTTTGTCCTTTGATTATACACATACGGGCACATGCACAGACACAAACAAATACAGACATGGGTACAAACACGTGAGCACACATACAGACACACAGAGACACACACACAGAGAAGCAGACACTCTGCAAAGTGCACAGAGGTTCAAACAATGACTCACCTGTTCCCCAGGCCCAGTCACTTGCAGGGAGCTGAAGAGCCTATCATCACCAGTCCACGGCGTTGCTACCTGTCTCCCCTTTCTCCTCTCTCTGGCCCAGGGAAAGGTTTGCTTCCCTCCACAGGCAGGACAGAAGGAGCCTCTGCTCCGGTGGAAAACAGCCTCAGAGCAGAGGTCAAGAGCAGCAGCCTTGGACCAGGGCAGTGCCCGCTGGCCCTCAGCCCCAAGGTCAGGCCTCTTCTCCTCCCAAAAGATTTCAGGGCAAAGTCCACGGTGGTCATGTGGTCACCTGGGGCAGAGCAGGAAGCTGGATCACAAAGCAGGTGACTCAGCAGGAGGCTGGACCGCAAAGCAGGTGACCTGGGAGCACCTGTGTGCTGCCGGAAGTCACATTCCTGTCCTACGTTTGCTGGCACCCAACTGGAGCCCATTGTTCAGCTTTGTTCTGGGGTTTCACTTCTGGGGTCTCACTTTGGCGCGGAATGTTCTTCTTGGCTCCTTCCTTGGAGCTGTGTTGAATCTTTGTTGCACTTGAAGAACCAACAGCCCAGAAGAGAAAAGAATATTTCGGTCAAATGAATTAATTCCTCCTACTGTCAGCTGGAAGCCAACCCTGGCTAAGCCCCACACTAGACCCACAGGCAACTCAGTGTGAGCCAGTCCGGGGCAGACCCTGGGCTGATGCCACCTGAGGGCAGGGTGGACGTGGCCTCCGTGGACATGGGAGACTCCAGGTGCAGGAGACAGGGAGGTGGACTTCCTCCTGGTCTTCCCAAATTCTTCAGGAGACTCTAGTCAGGAAATTTCTGGCTTGGTGGTAACGTAAGAGTCTCCTCCAGGTAAGATTTCCGGAGCCTCTGAGTGCAGCTGGGGTACCAGGGTTGGGCCTGAGGCTGAGGAGACGGAAATCTGTCGCCGTGAACATTACTCCACACAGCCAGTATATGGGAAACCAGCTCACTTTATGTCCTCCAAAATCACCCTAACTTCTAGTTTGGGTCCCATCCCACGGGGCTGCTGGGAAGTAAGTTCCACCATCACAGTGGTTCCTCCACCCTGTGGGAGTCGGGGGCTCTTATGCTGGAGGGGGGACACCGGCCTGGGCTTCTGCTGAGGCTCTGCCCCTCATCCCTGCAGGATGGACTAGCCAGTCCTAACACAGGACCAGTGTTGCTCTGCCACGTCCAAGCCTCCTCTGGGATGCTTCCTCCATGCAACCCCTTCCCCTGGGGCGTGGCCACCTCCCTGGAAGCTGCCAGCATGCTCGGCTGGGCCCCCGCACTCTGGAGACTTGAGAATCTCTCTTTTTGAATGAGTCCTTATCCTCTGCCCCCAGGCTGGTAACAAAAGGTCTGGGGGTGGTGACGTGCTGGGAACGGTATAACTCGTGAGATGGAGGCTGAATGTGGAGACACGTGAATGTGCTTCTCTTCTCCCCAATTCCCTTGAAGAATCCACCTTCCTGCAAGGTTGGGGGAGCATAGAATGGGAGGAAGATACAAATACCAATTTTATAGCAAGAATGCAAAAAGAGGCCAGAGCGGTGGCTCAGGCCTGTAATCCCAGCACTTTGAAAGGTTGAGCTGGGTGGATTGCTGAGGTCAGGAGTTCAAGACCAGCCTGACCAACATGGAGAAACCCCATCTCTACTAAAAATACAAAAAAATTAGCCAGGCGTGGTGACGTGCGCTTATGATCCTAGCTGAGGCAGGAGACTTGCTTGAACCTGGGAGGCAGAGGTTGCAGTGAGCTGAGATTGTGCCACTGCACACCGGCCTGGGCAAAAGAGTGAAACTCTGTCTCAAAAAGTAAAAATTAAAAAAAATAAAAATAAAAAGACAAAATGCTTAAGAACCAGCTTTTTACTCCCAAAATGGGAGGTTTGTGACTACAGTCAGACAGCAGGTTTGAAAGCCAGGCCTTGTCTAGAGAAAGGAGTTTTGGAATCTGCTAAGCTCATCTGTGACTATGTAACAGCCCATGGATCATGTTGGGGGGGTCCCAACTCCCTAGAAGGAGGAAACCCCTAGAAGACCTCAGGCCAGTCCCCAAACAGCACAGAGCTGGGCCAGGCGGCATCCCCAGCCACCCCTTGAGCAATGCACATGTGTAAGATCACAGAAGTGACTGGTGAGGGTGCAGAGAGCCCCTGAGGGCCAGGACGGGACAGTGGAAGGAGACGCCAAGATAGGCAGGCTCAGGAGCTGGTGCAGGCAGGGCCAAGGTGCCCCAGAGGCCGGCGGTCCAGGCAGGCGTTTCCAGCAGAGACCACGGGGAAGCAAGGACCTCTCACATGTCCAAGGACAACACATCCCCTCCCCACACTGCCACGAAGTCCCCGGCCACACTCCCAACCCAGGCACCAGTGTCCACGTGAGAGAGGGGCAAGGCGGCGGCATCCGGGAGAAGCAGCGTTTTACCTGGTGATCCTTTACGTTACTGTAGGACGGCAAATCTACAGGGTTGGATGGGCTGAAATTTAAAACCCGCCTCTCCTCTGTTTCCCGCTAGATCAAGCCCCTGGAGAAGATCTCCTTTATTAACACGAGGTAAAACACACGAAGAAAGTCCGTGACTTGTGGCAGGGGACAGGGCACGGAGCTTCTGCAGCGCGGAGAAGAGAGCCCTGCGTTCGCGGTGGCTCTCACCATGGCCTGGGGTAAAACCAGCAGAGCCCCTCTAACCAAAGCCTGTGTAGTTATCTTTGGACGTGTAACACATACCCACTGACTCGGCGGCTTAGAATAACACGCATTTATGGCCTCACGGCTCCTGTGGCCAGGAGTCGGGGCACAGCCTGGCTGCGTCTTCTGCTCAGGTTCCCACAGGCTGCAGTCAAGGCACTGGCCAGGCTGGGGTCTTTCTAGAGTTCAGGGTCCTCTTCTGAGCCCACAGGTTTGTTGGCAGAATTCAGTTCCCTCAGTAGGCTGAGGTCCCCATTCCTGCTGGGGTCAGTGGGCAGCTGCTCTCAGCCCTTCAAGGCCCCTCACACAGCGCAGCTTGCTTTCTCAAGGCCAGCAAGAGATGCTTTCTGACTTCTAGATCCTCTTTTAAAGGGCTCACCTGATTGGGGTGGGCTCCCACGGCACCATCTCCCTTTTGCTCAACTCACAGTCAACTGATGAATGACCCTAATTACATCTGCACAATTCCTTCACCTTCACCATATAATATAACCTGATCTCAGGAGTGACACCATCATAGTCACAGCCCTGTGCACACTCCAGGGGAGACACATGTTCACCAGGGGCTTGGAATCCTGGGGCCCATCCCAGAGTCCGTCGCCCACAGTGCCTGAGTCAAAGTTCACACAAAGGAGGCCCTCCCAGCCCAGGTGACTTTGCAGCCCACTGGCACACTGCTGGCGGGTGGCAGGGGACCCACTGCCGGAGCCCACTTCCTGCTTGGTCAGTGTGGCAGGGCCCGGTGCTCATGCTGATCTCAAGCAACCTGACAGCCTCCTCGTGAAGGCCCAAGGGTACAGTGAAAGGCCAGAACCCAGATATTCAAGAGGGCCTGGGGGCTCACAGCTTCGCCTCCTGCACAGAGGTCATCTGGGAGCAACCTGCCAGATCCTCCCTCAGGAAACAGTCTCCTCCTGCCAACACCAGTTTACTCACCTCCAAAGTAAGGGGGCTGGGCCAGATGGTTCTAAACCTCCCTCCGCTTCCAGCCTCTGTGACCGATCACTCTATGCACCGAGGGCCATCCGGCATGAGCAGGAAGCCTGCGGTGCACGCGTGTAAATCAGAAGGTGCATTCCCGTGGGGATATGGGAATCCAGTGTGAGTAGGAAGCCTGCAGTACGCTTGTGTAAATCAGAAGGTGCATTTCTGTGGGGACGTGGGATGTCAAGCTCAGACACAAACCCCAAGGAAGGCGGGTCAGGACTCACCATCCAGACAGTATCCATAATGCCATGCAGATGTGGTATCGTGCACAATCATCATTGCTTGTAGTAGAAATTAGGCAAAATGGAACATAAGCAATTTACTTACAGGACCAGAATTAATATGATTTTAACACATACCAATTTTTAAATTTTTCTCTAGGCATTTTATCAACTTTTCTGTGTTACCATTGATAGAATATTCGCAATGCCACTTACACAGGCCACGTATGCAGGCATGCACACTTTCTCCTCCCAAAACATGCAAAATGATATCATTGTGGAGCTGGACAGGCCCCCTGGGTGGATGTGGCCTGAGTGCCCGTCCAGTGGCTGAAGAATCTCTGCAGCTCTCCTGCCACCTGATGTCTCGGGTTCTGCTCAAATATCGACAGTGATGGGATTTTCTCTGAGACAGTTTATCCCATGTGGGTTCCTTTCTAGCCAAGTCAGTCCTTTGTAACTTTCCACCCTTTACTGCCCTGGGGTTGCGTGGAGAGCCAGGCCTACTGCTGCATAAACATTTCTGAGATGTTGAAGCAGCTCTCAGGGCTTGCAACAGGCATTGTAAACGGCCTGCCCCAGATCGGTGCCCTCCTTGTTCCTTATGAGGAGATCCCCACTGTGGTTCAGGTTGTTAATGCATTCGTATCTTTTTTCTTGCAGAAGTGACCAGGTGACCCCACTCTGGCCAGGGAACCATGGCTGAAGTCCTCAGGGGATTTGTGGGGAAGCGGCGCCCCCCTCCTCCTTGGGGTTTTCTTGCAGAGCTGCTGTGAAGAATCAAACTCAGCTGTGATAATTATCCGAGGTCAGCTCTTCCAGAATGTCCTTATCTCCTAAGGCCTTTGAGATAAGCAGGAATTGTGGTGTCTGCCTTGCCTCCAAACCTTTATCCTTGCTTATCTCAGTGGAAAATTCCAGCAGGGATTTCTGAACACCAAGTTAAATTCCTCCACTCAACAATCAGTTTGGCGCGTGGCTGCCCGCCAGGCTGGGCAGAGCAGAGGGGAGCCAAAGGAATAAACCCAAGTCCTGCCCCCAGGTGCCCAGAGCCTGGCGGGGATAGGACAGTTGCCTGCAGAGCAAGAGACTGCCACCCGGGTTCACACAGGCCAGAGAGGCTGACCTACCTGCCCAGAGGCAGGGGAAGAATCCAGAGGACCTCTCCTAGGAAGAAATGTTGGCACAGGCACGAGAAGCCCACGTGGCAGCCAAGAGGAGGGACAGCATCCTGGGCCCCGGAATGCCAGGGGCAGATGTGCACTGGGAGGCGCGGGGCTGGGGACACCATCAGTGAGCACAGGGTCTGGGTAGGCTGTGGGAGGGGTGAGAGTGGAGAGACAGCCAAGCCGGGTTGTGGGAGGCCCTGCCTAATTCTGTAAAGACTAGGATTAGAAACGTAACAAAAATGGGCTGGGCACGGTGGCTCACACCTGTAATCCACTTTGGGAGGCTGAGCCCGGTGGATCACCTGAGGTTGAGAGTTCAAGACCAACCTGGCCGACACGGTGAAACCCCATCTCTACTAAAAATACAAAAATTAGCCGGGCGTGGTGGCACACACCTCTAATCCCAGGTACTAAGGAGGTTGAGGCCGAGAATTGCTTCAACCCAGGGGGCAGAGGTTGCAGTGAGCCCAGACTATGCCACTGCACTCCAGCCTGGGCAACAGAGCAAGTCTCTGTCTGAAAAATTAATATAATATAATATAATATAATATAATATAATATAAAAAAAATGAAGGGCCAAGTG